GACGATTGTGGGCCATTTAAGGAATAGAAGTCGTAAAAAACTAAGTGGACGCACAAAAAGAGATAAATGTTCAACAAGCTGTTAGAAAAGAAACTCAGAAATTTATATTGTAAGTGACCATCACGACTCGTTTTGTTTATGGGGTCATTGGCCAGGACCATTGACAAACGTTTTCTTTTTTAAAAAAGAAAATAGTATTTTTTTTCTTTACTCGGTCTCGTCTTAGACGAAGGTATCGGGTTAATAAATTTAAAGTTGTCAGATGAGCTTTACAAGTAAATAAATACTTGAGCATTGTTTAGGAATTCCAACATGCTTAAGACATTTTGAAATCTACAGTGAAAAGGTTAATAAGACTTAATTTTTGTTTTAAAATAGGGTCTCATCTTATAGAAAAACATTGATACAACATTGATGTGAATTTAAAACTTTAACTTGAAGTGATAATTGCTTCGACAGACAATATAAGATATTGTATTGAACCAATTTTGAAATACCGGAAAAGCGGTATTGTATGTGAGCAGAGGTATCTATTTTCGCTGTTGGTATGTATTCTTTTTTGACATTCGGTATGCGGTGCGAGGCCAGACGCCGTCCAGACGGGCTATTTCTATCATGTATATTATCTACCGTTATGTCGCATATAACAAAAGTCAGTAATCTCAACTGAATTTTTAGCTTTTGACTTCTCCATTAATTTTAGTTTCTAACAGTACGTTAGTATATTCTTTTTAGAATAAAAAATAAAAATGTAATTCAAAAGGAATAATTTATTGTAGGCTGGTTCGATGATATGATTTCTCATGAACTCAGTCTTATTTATAACATATTCCTTTTAGTTAATCATACAAATTCTTATATGAACTGAAGTTTATCAAAAATGTTATCTTATAAGTTATTAACTGATATGATGAAAAATTAAAAATGGCAACCTGAATAGACCAGCTTATGTCTAATTTGCGCATAACAACATATTAGCGTTTATTTGTTTATGCATTATATTTATAGGTAGATTAAAATCAATATAGCATAATCATAACAATATCTATGAATATGTGCTTAATAAGAATGAGAATGCATAAAGTCCTTATCATTTATTAGTGAATGATGTCTAATATTCCCAAATTCTTGTATGACATTTTGTTATAGGTAAGTAACAAAACAATGTCAGCTATAAGTTTCAATACCTATACATATAATATCGCAGCTGTATTGACTTTTGACACATGCAAACTGCATAGTTCTGCGTGACTTCACTAAATCAATATACCTACGATTGTTAAATTATTGGATTATGAAGTATTATTATTGCGAATTTAAAACTCAATAATTTCATAATTGTATTTTGAAAAATGTTCAAGATAAACCTTTAGTTCTTTTTTAACTTAATCATGTTTAAATTTATTGCTATTCTGCACTACAAGTTAAGAAATGATTCAAAATAAATATGATTTTGATATAATAGATAAACTTAAGTTTACATTCTTAGCAGGTTTAGGGAACAACATAGAGCTAAGCTGAGATCAGTTGCGTAACTATACCCTTTGAGTCCCTTGGCATATTCATCGGATATTCAATTGTTTTTAGTAATTGCGTAATAATAAATGTCAGAAGAAAGGAGTCTCCTCTGACTGGGTGCCCGTCCAGGTGGGGGCCCGTAGCATTTTGCCGACTTGCCACCCTGTAGTTACGCAACTGGCTGAGATGGAATATCAATGTGCTTAAGTTAAATTAATTGATGTTCCTATGTTTAATACGCTAATATCATCCGCTTACAGGTATAAAACTAAGAAGTTTATAATATTTTTATTTAAACTAATAAAGTTCGTTCACGATTTATAAAGGAGATTCTCAGTTCAACTGAATGTTTTTCTTTAAAATGCCATCTCGCCATAATATGGATGTCATTTCATATGGCGTCATGACTACACCGTTAGGTGGTTGCACCTCAGAATTGAATAGTTGGCTAGACGATGCCTCGCGATCAAACTCGCGTGCAGTTTCGCAATTTTAATGTCAGGATACACGCCTTTAGAGTTCATTTTTTATTCGAAATCGGTAATCGGTGAATATATTTCATAAACATTTATTTTCATAACATGATATTGACCGTAATATGTCTATGAATTCAGCAGACCAGAGCAGACAAATATGAGACATCAATATAATTCATTGAACTCGCTAGTTGTCAAACCAGTTTTTCGTTGATATAATTTAATCTAACCGATAAGATTTCTGTGCATATTATCTTAAGATTTTCCTTATTTACTGGTCTAATTTACGATTATAATATTAATCCGATAGTTATTTGTAAGCACTATGAATTGTCGCTCCAAATGTTTTCCAACAATTTTCGTTTCAATATTTTTGTGATATAGATATAGTTAACATGGTAAAAATCATAAGAAAAGACGCGATTTTTATGACTTCGACAACATCAATATTCCAGTTAATTTGATTTATGAACAAACCATCTGTTTCGATTTTAATAAAACTTTTATAAGAACAACTTAGGACCATAACCATTCTCTAATTATCTAAAAAAATCGATGTACAATTCACCGAGGAATTGGTGAACATTTAAAAGGTGTGAAAAGATATTTTTATTGCGAATAGGCACCGAAATTATTGGGCCGAATTTAAAAATTCTTTCATCAATGGTAGTATTTGATATACAGATATGGTATTAGCTGACTTCGATAATAGGATATTTTTTATCCAACTAAACATTTCCCTAGGGATCATGCGGGCGAAGCCGCTGGCGAAAGCTAGTATATATTAATATATTAGTTTACCACTGGAAGACCTTGCCCCTAAAAATATTTCATAGAAAATATGTATATTACGTATCGTTCTGCATTACTAACAAACAATTGATGTCAGCAAAATGCCAGTAAACAATACGTGCTTCTGACAATAGTTCAATAGCTCTAAGATGTCTCTCCGAGCATGCCAACGTTTATAGGTACGTTAGAAGAATTATAGAATCGTGATGCATGGAAATGGACATTAATGCATTCGATTTATATTGAAATAAACTTTTTCCTTTTCATATAGCATTTCATTTTAAAAAGTCTTAAACTACTTTAAATAAGGCTGTATTCTCGAGGGGTCTCAGTAATATTATCGAAATCGAATCTGTAGTTTTGTTTTCATATCAAAGTTATTGGAAATACTATAAAATTTATAAAAAATAATTATCTATTATCAAAGGATTCTGCTCTTGCCATGGCACAGCTAAATTGCATAATCATCTGTGTGCGTAATTTTTCGAAAAAAGGGATTGAAAGCTTTTGTAGGTAGGCTTTTTAAACTTATTAAATGTAACCTCTAAGATTGCCAAAAAATTACCGATTAATAGAAGACTGTTATTTGCTTGTTCATAAAACTTCTTTTTGAAATTTTTAAAGCATTAAAGGATATTCCACTCCGCTAGAAACGGTATGTACGTCAAAAACGTCTGTGCTAGATTAAAAATGTGAGTTCGTCAATTTTTTTACAACTGATTTAAATTGAGTTTAAAGGATATTGCCAATTGAAGTACGAGGTTTGCTTTCGCTTTGTGCCACGATACACCTTCGTTTGACTAGTCTGATATTTAACGGTTAAAAAACATAGATCGACAAAGCTAACGAAATTCATTTAATAAAATATTTTAGTATTGTACCAAAAATGTAAAAAGGAACTTTTAAGGTGAACGTCCACTTTATACATATGTACGCACGGTATGCAAAGGATTTTTCACAGCTTTGTATGAATTTTTATAGCACTCCATCCACTATTCGTATGTACAGACCGCATGTATTATATGGGCAAAGAATGTGATACGTGGCGATGACGTCATACGGATTGGTTCACAGGATCACTCGTGTGTTGGTTTGTCTGTCCGTCTGTCACAGCTGATTTTGTATTGTAATATACAACTGGAGTGTATTGTAATTTCGTACATTTACGACAGTCGATGATCCCAAGACGAGCGTATAACGTAACGAAATTAAACAAGTTTTGAGGGTAAATAAAAATAAAATTTTGTAAATAATTACGACATTGATATCAAATATATATGAATATATTTTAAAATTTCTAGATAAATAATATTTTTTGATATAATTTAACAAAATGGGCGAAATCAAACGACTTGCTCTTGACCGGTTATTAAATGTTGTCTGGAAGAGATTGTTGACTATTATTAGTTAAGGTCGATTTTTGTGAACTTCTTGGTAGATTATCTCATTAATATAAGTACTAAATATTTGTGCGAATTAATGTGTCATTAAAGGCCTATTCTATTTATTCGGAAACAAAAATCTGGATATTTTCGAAATGTTCTTACAACTCTTAAGCAATGTATTTTTCGATATTTATGATAGGACTGGGGTAGGACCTGACACTGCCTCTGATGCACAGATAATCTTCCCGGATATGATTTTAATAGAATTATAAAAGCGATATGTAATTTTCCAAATTATCGTTTGAAAACAAATAATTTGTACAGGTTTTAAGGTAATGTGAAAGATTCTTCATTTATAAATACCTACACGAAAAACAAATCAAGAAATCTTTAAATAAAGCAATTAAATTATCTTGACATGTGTTACTGAAATCCTTAATAAAAAAAAATATCTAATCTCCGTTATCGCTGATTTCCTTAATAATTTTGCTTAAGTGACACGCATAACTATCTTATTACCTCCGATTTCGTAGTTTTGTATGAAGTTTGTCTCGTCTCTTTGTATGTTTCAAAACGAGTATATATATAAAAAATAATTAAGAATGCATATGTCAAGAAAAGCGCAACGTAAATTTTCGTAAATTTTATTATTTATCAGTGTCAAAATTTTATGAAGTATACGTTCTTAACACACCGATTTCGGTCATTTGGTCTGCCACTAACGGTTCGAAAGTGACCCGGTAGCCACAAGATGATCCACTGAGCTTTTAGTGCATTTCAAGACCTATATACATACTTATAAGAACCATACATGGTGTTGCGCGCTTACCTTTTTGAGTTCAGTGCTTATTCATTTAATATGACGAAAAAGTTTTAACACCACCGTTCGGCAAACGTAAAAATCCACAGATAGCGCTCACAAAAGCACTGGCACAAAATTGAAATCGTTTCGTAACACACCGGGCCGGCAGTGAAAAACAAAAGAAGAAAACAACAAGCACTATTCGATTTTTAAATTAAGAACACATGCACGGCAGACCGTTGCGTTGCGATCGCCAAGTCGCGACTGACTCGTGCGCCGGTGGTCGCCGCGCGGATTCTAATTTTATCGTGGCAGTAATACGAGATAAAGCCGGTATAGTATATATTTTTTTCCGATCGTTTTATTTGTGATATCGACTGGAGAGAGCTCGTATGTAATTTAGAACGAATGGGACTGTTTTTCTTTCGTTGATTTACTAATTTGTGTGGTGAGAGCAAGCGTATTGTAATCGAATTTTGACATCAATAATTAATTGTTTTTGTTACTGACGGTAGTTATTTTGCTATTACTGTTCGTTAATAATTAATATCTGTATAGTGTACTTATTATTAGACAAAGCAGTCTTACAACTCATTGTTGAATTCTGAATATTAATAGATATTATTGTAAGGCCACATGAGTGCGACGACTGATCTTCTCTAGGTTATTTTGGTCCAGGAAGGGATATTTAATTGACAATTGGAATTGATATTTTTCTGTTTGCATCTACTCCACCATCAGTTCTGAAATGGCAACAGTGTTCTTTATAAGTTCTGCCAGTCAACATGCAGATTCGTACGGTACCTCGCGACTGGTTCTAAAAAGCGACATTTCGTAATTATTTTTAACCTGAATGGTGGTTAGAGTATTTAATATTTTAATAGTATGATTGTTTTACTAGTCTTGAATCTGCCCGATATTAGCAAGCGTAATGACGAACATGAACTCGAGAAACTTTCTCTCTTCGCCAAAATGTCTATACAATTTCCCATTCACGAGGAATTTTTCGACTTTAATGCAACAATGGTTTCAAGTGCCTATTTTGAATTAAACGAAAATTTGTATTTTATTATTAACAAAAAGTATATATGACTTAATAAAGACACTTCATCTTAAGAAATTTGAATATTATTGACAATAATAATGATATAATTTCCAGGAAACGTTGCGGTGCCGATGCGGCGTTAAATTATTGTGGTGTGATGAGATGATTCAGTTTTGTGTATGTTGCGTTCTTGCCAAATTGTCGGTATTCGGCGACGTCTCGAGGTTCTCTGTCACTACCTATCGGGAGTCACGTGACTCAAGCTGAACAAAAAAAAATAAGTTCACATTTGAAATACCCTTTTTTTGTTAACGTAGAGGAAATACACCTTAAGCTTCAAATCAATCTATCCAAATCAGTGCTCCTAGATTTATTGTGATTACAATAGATTGTATTTAATTTAAAACAGCTTAAATTCATCCAATCATACAGGTAAAACGAAAAATCGCCTACCTAGGGCCATAAATATTGTAGAGTATTTATCCTATTTATCCTACTAATATTATAAATGTGAGTTTCTGATGATATCTTTTCTGATTTTGATGAAATTTGGTATACAGATAGGATGTTAGATGACTTAGATAATAGGATACTTTTTAACCCACTAAATAGTTCCGTAGGGACCACGCGGGCGAGCCCGCTGGCGGAAAGCTAGTGTTATATGAAAGTGAAGTTTCTTTGTTTGGGTGTTTATCCGTCAATCACTCCGATACTACTGAAAGATTTTTATGAAATTTGGTATACAGATAGGGTATTAGCTGTCTTAGATAATAGGGTACTTTTTATCTCATTAAACATTTCCCTAGGGACCATGCGGGCGAAGTCGCCGGCGGCGTAAGCTAGTATACTATAAAAACATTATCATTAAGGTTTCTGTGCAGGAGATTCTCCCATTTTAAAATGCATCGTCTATGTACTGTGATGGTGTAGCGCTACCTATCGCAAGTAGCAAATCTCGCAGTCTCTACCAGACAAGAGAATATTGTATTTTTTGTTAATTCATTACGTGTAATAGCATTGTATTATTATTTTAAATACAATATGTTTTAATATAAAAAAGGGATGTTTTTTGTCCGTCAAGGGCAAAACGCAACAATTTCACGATGAATGACATCAAGTATGGATGTACAAGAATATCGTTCAGTGAATTAATAAGATAAAAATAAACCAGAGGAACTGCCTGATTGATCATAAACACCATCGAAGGATAAATAAACTAGCATAATTTTTACTTATTATCTAAATTAAGTTTTCCTGTAATTTCACCGTAACTGACTTTGATATCTGCTGTTTATAGAAACTACTGTATTTTTTAGGTGATAACACTGTAATTTTGCTTTTGGGATCTGGAAGCACTGATCCAAACTCATGGACCTGCTCCGAAAGCGAAATGTCAAAACGTGGTTGATATGCCTGATCAAACCCGTTGCCAAGTAGGCACCCTTATTAGGGTGAGTGTCCGAAACCCGGCAAGGAGCCCGCTGGACAAGTTTACCTAAAATAGAGAGAGCATATCGTACATTTAGCATATGGTTAATTGTTTTAGTACATAGTAAGAAGCAGCTAATATATTTGTCAATATTAATTTGATAAAAGCCACAGCTAATTTTCAGGGTGTTGATAATAACTTTGTTGTAGATAAAACAATGTAAACATTCGCCTATTGTTTGATTTGTTTTTTAGGAATGTATCCTTAGCACGAAAATAATAATCAAATTAGTATCGAATAAATTGAAAATTTTTGTATTGCTTATTAAGCATCGCCACCTACCTAGGTAAAAGAAAAAAAAAGACTTTGGTGTTTACGCTAGTAATTAAGATATTATAATAATTATAATTGATCAATTTGTATTCACAATGCTATTCGGAAAATCGGAAATGAGATTCCATCTGAGTGTCAGGGAAAAAGCATTTTTTAAGCATTTTTCATTAAGAATTATGTATTCTATTTGTTGTTTTCAGTATTGTCTACAATGGATTTAAACGTAATGGATAAACTACGCATATTAAAAATGGACACAGAATTGCGTCCCCAAATAAAAATGAAACCATTGAGTAGATTCTATTTTGTCGCTTCAACTAACCCTGGGGAGCAGTTTTACGTGTTTGCATCTGTTGCCGCTTGGCTCATAAGGAAAATTGGTAAAGATTTCGAACAACCAAACGAAGAAGATGATCCTAACTCAATTATCACTAACATTATAGATTTCCTTAGGGAAAGAAATATTTCTGTCGATTTTTCGCCGAGCAAACTTAAACAAGGATACGGTGAGCAAGTATGTTACATTCTGAACGTTTTGGCACAAGAAGCTATGATGTCAATAAATTTTGAATGGCAAAAGCCTATAGTAGATATACCAGAGGCAGAAGAAAACACAGACGACCTAGATCAAGTTGAAGATGAAACGGAAATAATTCTCGATAAGGTGGAAGAAGAAATGGAGATATATTCTGAACAGTCAGACGATGAATATGGAAATGCAGATGAAAAGGAACCTGATAACATCGGTCATAAGGTTCACGATTGGGAAGCATGGAAGTTAGAACTGGAGAGGGTGGCGCCGGCTTTGAGATTGAAGATAACCGCTGATGGTAGGGACTGGCGAGCGAGACATTCGCAGATGAGAACGTTCAGAGATGACCTACTCGATAGATTTAAAACGACGGGATCTCAATTGAACAAATTACATTCGAATATAAGTTCGGTCATAGACAAAATAACAGCTAGAGAAAATATCATAAATGAACAATTTGAACCGTTAGTTAGAGAGTATGGTGCGCTGCTAGATGAACTGAATAAAGTTAGTAATGAGTACAAGGAAGTAAGCGTAGGGGTGACTGAGAGACAAGAGATGTTGAATGAAATTACAGCTAAAGTTGAGAGTATCAAGCAAAGAACAGAATCTAGAGGATCGTCGATGAACGACAACTCTCCTTTAGTGACAGCAAAGAAAGCTGTCACGACATTAAAAAAGGATATTCAAGAGATGGATTTCCAAATTATAATATTACTATGGTTTTTAACCACTAAAGAGAATCCGAATAGTAACAATTTTCTAGCAAACGCTGAATCTAGAATAGTAACTGCCGAAGCTTATTAATCAGTGTTAACAATTTAACATGTACACACTAGGTTACAAAATAAATATTAGATAACATCACATTATTTACATTGCTCACACCCCAAATTAAGTAGCTAAAGCACTTGCATTATGAAATTCTGAAACAACGAAGGTACCACAACACCCAGACCCGAGACAATATAGAAAAGTTAATTTTCAGTTATTTACCGATCGGGTATCGAATCAGGACCTCAGAGATGGTGACACCTTGAAACTGGCGTACAAACCACTTGGCCATATAGGTCAACCTCAAAAGATCAAACTGTAATCGATCTTGAATTTTATTATTTATGGATCAAGGTTTAAAATAGATTTAAAAACTTGGCCTTTTGTATTAAACTGACATTCTGTCCATTGTACAAGAGTTTTAATAAAGTTAAATAAAATACTTATTACAGTACAATCTCTTTATTTGTCATATTTAGGATAAAGGTAATGTGACTTAAATAATATTATGCATTAGCTACATTTTCTTTAAAAATATTAGAATCCTGAAGTACGATCAGAATATAAAAGTAACAAAATAATATTTTAAAACATTTCAGAAATAAAATAAGCAACATCAAAACGTATATATCTTTGGTTTAAGCTAAAGGTTATACTTTTAGGTAACATTAATGCTTGGGATGAATGTGATTTGTAGTGAAGTGCCAATATAGAGGTTGTGGCGTAACGTTATATACCTATAACCTTGTACTCTAGGATTGAGTACCCTAAGCCCTATCATAAAAAATATGTACTCCCTGACTCATGTACTTTTTGTGTCATTTCTTTTCAAATTTTTAAGAAATTTGCTTTTCTTTCACTTTTTCTGCCATCATTCACTCTTTGATTTGTTCTCCAATAAATGCGTTATTATGTAAATACACTGGACAGCAAAACTAAGTATCACACTTTTAAAATGGCAATAACTTTTTAAGTACACAAGATACACTATCGAAATAAAAAGGACTCGAAAAAGATTTTTTTTAGTAAAATAAAGTAAATAAAGCTGATAAAATTTACTATAACATGGTATTTATTTTAAATCGCTAAACTTATATAGATTACAAAAAAAATAGGTTTCAAAAGTGTGATACATACTTTTGCAGGTCAGTGTATTACAATTTCAGTATAGCAAGTCCATTTAATTATTTATAAAATGCTTAATTAAATATTTTGTTTTCTTTTAAATTAAAGTTTGAGCTCGTTATTGAATATTATGATGAAATAGTAATAAATTATACAATTTCTGAATAGCAATAACTATTTTTCCAAAAAGGTTATGGAATGTCTACTTACGGTTTTAAAAACTACATTATTGGCACAAATTTATTAGCTATGTTAACATATTTTTTTAACACTAGACATGCTTAAACATTTCTTTTGATCAAATAAAAAAAAAGACTTTATAGACTTAAAAAATATTTACGTATGCTGTAAAAATTCTCTTTTTTTAAATTAAAGGTGACCGAAATGTGAAAAAAAGCAATTTTTTCAATAATGAAAAATATATAACAAACACTAGTTGAGTCAGCGAGTTCGTAATTTTTTTTTAAAGATAGGGCTTAAAGTTTTAAATTCGAGAAGACAAGGTTATCCATTAATTAAGCCACACCCAGTATACATTACCTAAAATAGCATTGGCTAGGTACAAAATGATAGTCATGAATACATAATGATATCGATATAAAACATTCAAGTACGAATCGAAAACTTATTTGTAGGACGTCATCTACAATAGTTTGACATTTCTGTTCAATACAAATTCGATTCCCACTTGATGGGTCTTATTGCTAAGGGCACACGTGCTGTTATTTGCACTGTGTGCACGTGTGCCCTTTGTTTCTCTAAACAAACATCAAGATACCTTTGATGGAATATTTTTATACGTATGTTTCATAGACAATTTTGTCAATAGTATAACATATTAATTGTGGAATTGTGTAAGAACTTAATTATCGCTATAGCCATAAGTTAGACGGTTGCACCCCAAAAAGACAGGGATGGGATGGGGATAACTATACCGGTGAGTCAGCTACGCCTTCTCGTCTTTCATCCCCAGCTGTGCTGTTTAGTAAGAATATCGGCCTGGAACTCTGCTTCAATCAAGAGGTTCAATGAAATAAACATTTATCATCTTTTAAAGTAGGTTTCATTTGATAGAACCTCTATGCTGTGACTGTGACAGGGCTGTGCCGAACGTCGAGTTCGAGGCTGATTTAATTACAGAATAGCACTGCTAATGTGGGTCTCCAAGGCTCCAGTGGATTGCAAAATCGGAGCCTCGGCAGAGTCAGCTATAAATTAGGCGATCCCATTAATGATTGGTATAACGATTGTTGAGGTTTAATAAATTATTGCGACAAGTCGCTGTACGTAATAACATAGTTCATAGTCGAGTTTTATAGTAAATAATATAAACAGTAAATATTTTGATTCTACCATTGATATAATACACATCTAAAATTACTAAGTGCACATGAAAATCCTAATTTGCAAATTGAGTATAGTAAATTATATGTAGGTCAGTACAACATCCTTTTAACTACAACCTTTTTAATCATAAAGTTAGGCCTAAATGTACTATTTGAACATTTACGCTATGCACATAAACTTCTTGTTACGCGCGCATATGTGACTTTTCACTTTGACTGCTTGTCTCATTGTTTTCTGTCACTTGGGAATTATTTGTTTTGAATAAAATTTTCTCAGAATAATAACTAAGGCCTTGGAATAAAGTGCCATCTTTCATTCATTTCATTTTCATTTTACCTGTAAAAATTAATTAATTTACTTGACATTGGCAGAATTGTGCGAAATGCGCAGATAAGCCATTAATTAAAAAAAGAAGAAGGAATAAAGTGACACGTCACGTGACATACGTATACGACATACGTGGATTTCATAGAAGTGACAGAAAACAACAAATCACGATGTTAAAAAATCACCAGTACGTAATTCTGCAATATTAGCGTAATTATGGAAACTTAATAGCACTTCAAATACAACCCTTTATGTGACAGTTCTTGTTACTAGACTACAAAATAATCAATATATATTACGTTAGCATTATCAGCGTAGGAGTGCGCTTGTAGCTTACATTTTCTTTCGCTTAATTTAATTTTGATATAAAATTAAAGATTATAACAAAACAAGTCACGTTTCGTTTAGGTACAGCCATAAAAAATATGTATGAAATTTTGACAGTTTTCATACTTCCTGCTTTTTTAAGGAGAATGGGACATCAAAATTATACACATATTTTTAGACGTGACTGTATGAACTCTCACAGCCTTCCTTACTTTTTATTAATAAAACATATTTATGATAAAATATTTTTAAAACTGAAAAGAACTAATATAAAAATACAATTTGTCATTAAACTAGAACATTAAAAATTAAATATAAAAAAATAGGTTCTCAATATTGGTTCTTAATAAGAAAATAAATAGATATTGCATTTCTGCAAATTGAATGATTGTATATAATAATAGTGTAAACCATATTTTCAACTTTTCCTTTATTATTCTACACATAGAACCCTTGAGGGTAACATACTTATATGTATAGTACTAATCAAGCTATGTTGTACTTCAAGTTGACCTGTCCTTAGGGCAAGAGAAAAAAGTTAGTATATTATAAAACACGGTACGGTAGGAATCGGACAGCACGGAATCCGCCGGACTGTTTTTTTAATCGATCCTCTCTAAAGATCGGAGAAGAGGAGGGGGAGAGGGAGAATGTGGGATCCGGCTAGGAGCGCTCTAGAAAGGTATTTGCGAGCTAGCGGAGCGGTTGATGCGTCGCTAATTATGGCTATTATAATCGACGAACCAATAAAGAAGCAACTATATTTTAATAAGTATAATAATAAAAAATGCTTGAAAAGCCATCAGCCCTTGCTACCCGAGATGGGACTCGAACCCACAATTTTCCGCAATTCCGACTCCTTTTCGCACTGGTGACGGCTCTAATCATTGAGCTATCTGAGACCCAACTGAGTTGTCGATTTACTTTTTCACTACTAGTGAGCATATTTTCATCAACGTTCAGGCAATCCACCCTAACGAGTTAGGTAGATTTTTTAAGCATTTTTCATTAAATATTTTTATCAGTATAGCATTGTGTTCGCAATATGAAACATATGAAATACAATATATTTTAATAAGCAACCGGGAAATATTGTTATTATTATTGCCGTCTCCCTTACTTTTTATTAGAATTATACCAGAGCAAGTCTGCGAGAACTATCGCTCTTCATACTTAGTCGACGCGCGTTCGCACTGTCTTACAATTTTAACTCTAAACAGCAGTCTAATAGTAAGTCTTTGGCCTAATTTAGTTCTTAAATCGCTATTAGAACTCATCATAGTACAGTGAGTTACAACTGATGTGACTAACTCACTTTCGAAGACATTTCGAAGCATGGCAAATGCCGACCAATCAGAATGATACAAATAGCGTGACATTTTATGTTCCATGCTTACCCTCCAGATTATAAATAAGCGAGACGGACAACTAATGTGTTGATTGTACATTTTATGCCTATAAAAATAAAACTCATTATAAATGTTAATCATGTCCCGTCATCATCGGAATTGGAAGGACTGATATACGCAAACGCAGTTTCACCATGCGTCATATTAGTTGGAACTCACTGTAAATCAAATAACCAAGTAAAATTAATGAAATTTTGCTGTCTGATAATATCAAATGCATCGATAGCTATGTCATGACCTTGTGGTGTGCTATCAATAGCAACAGGAGTACTGACGTTGGTTAATTTTCTAATCTAGCAGATAAAGCACCCAGATTTTATAGTAACCTAGATATTGATTTGGTTGAAAGTATATTTTTTTAAAACTATTTACACATAGTGACGATTATTACAGATTAAATATATTGATTGACTTTAGAACTCCATTAAAATTGATGGTTGAATTAAATACTTTTCTTAAGATATACAGTAATAAATAGATTCTTTCATTCCTAAGACAAAAACAAGAACTAAAATATTTATCTATAGAAAAGCAGATTCTGACATTACTACAAAAAGTTTAAACATTATTAACTTTTAAAAAGAGATATAATAAAAAAAAGATACAAATTTTTAATGTTACAATTGGGAAAAGAATATACCAACTATAATAATCTCGGTTACAATAATAAATTAATTGTATATTTGTTCATTATAAGATACTTTATAAATATTAACTTAGTCACTGGTTAATTGATAAAAAAATAGTACTTACATCACTTTTATAATCAAAAAAGGAAAGAATTACATCACAACAGTTTTTAAAATAGAGATCAGTATAAAACATACTCGTACATATGAATAGAGAGGCACCAATAAAAACATCTGCCTGTTTAATCTATAGTTTTATTGAATTAATGGTGTAATGAGCTGTTTGGTCTCATTATTAGTCAATAAAAACTTATAATACTGGCTGTTGTGCAATGCCAGCGAAATTCAAGGGTAAAACTCGTTACTGTAGAAGGGTTATATATCTATAATTGTAATATTCAATTATGGGAACTGACTTATTTATTAGTGACTGATGAATGATAATTATAATTATTACAGTTAAGTTGTGATTGTTATAAATTAATTTTGCGATAGAGCTAAGAAATATTATATGTGGCAGGTATATAACAAACATTACAAAAAATATATTATAACAAGTACAGTCAACACCACATCATGTTATTCAAATCTGTCAATTATGTAATCGATTTTGAACCTAACATGTTAAGTGTAATGTCGAAACTCGATTATAAATATCACATACTTAATGCACTGCTATGTCTACATAAATAATAATAACATTATATATTCGTTACTTAGATAAATCTAGATATCGATTACAATTATTTGACTATTTTCTTATCCACTACTTATCCCTGTTCTATATTATAAGGCTCAACAATAGTATACTTAAATCTAAGTTCAACGAGTGTTGCCAAAATTAAGCCCAGTTTGTTTCTAGGAACATCCGGCCACACTTAACCGTGACTTAACTCGATATATTCTCGTGGGAACTTCGGAATAGCTATCACTTATATATATAAAAAAAACTTTTCTCTCCACAGTTTTCGTGACTACATTTTAATTTGACTCCGTTAACCAACCACAGGTACCGATTAAAACTTTTGCTAATTCCATTTGTAGTGTCAATTTTAGTATCAATGTGGCGATTCATAATGCAGCGACCTCTGTCCCATCGTTATAACATCACCAAATTTATCAATAGCACGACGAACATTATAGACTTGACGTACAGTTACATGATCAACACAATCCAGTCCTTCATTTCTGATCCAGATGGAATTAACCCATCAGACCCTAATGTTCATTATGATATGATAGTAGTATCTTTTTATCCACAGTATTGTGAAATATAGAGTGTGATAGGCATAATGATAATAAATCGCAACTAGTTAACTATATAAAGAAATCGATTATTAGTAATTTTAACAAAAAAACATAAAAATAAGTCACTCTCAAACAGAACGTCTTCATTTATTTTATACTCCGGTTACTTCAGCTTTTATGTAACTTAACTTGCACTAGTTCGAATCTTTCGCTTGGTTGAGTATGAGGCTCTTGGCCTGTCCCACATATATTGAATCCTGTTTCGTTTGTTCGTCGAAAGTGACGTTGTATTTCCTTTTGAGATCGTCCATAAACTCTTGTTTCAAAAGAGCTAGGCATCTGAAAAAGGTTTTATTTATTTACTTAAATTATGCTACTTCGAATCTAATGTAGATTTTATAATGTGCAGTTATAATTTAGTGTTGCTAGTGTAGATTCTATGGTAAGTAGATTAATCGTGTGTCTAAGGGGAAGCTTCGCTAACCTACCGAGTCACTGGTGGCGGATAGTGACATATCCTAAGTAAGTATGTGGGATAGCTGCGCATAGGGAAAATCTGAGTAAGCAGTGCCGGACCGAGATAACCGCACTGAAGTTTTAAATTTAGTTTTATGATTTGAAAAAGCGCGCTTCCAATATCTTGCCAAAAATGAAAGTCTTAAACTTTGCTTTGTGAAACGATCTATAGTGTTGTCTTATAATGTGTGTATACTCACATTCTGTAGTGAGGGTTGGCTCGGAAGGCGGTGATGTCGGGCGAGGGCGCGTGCGGCGTGTGCACAACAAACGCGTCGGGTAACACAACCGCGCGGTAACCCTGCGCCCTTAGTTCCACACTGTGCGACACCTGGATTAATTAACATTGCCGGTTATGTTAATGGTCTCTAATAGTTTTATGGTAACTTCGCTACTTGGATAAACATTCTTAGGCCACGGAAGGTATTTTCCGTCCTATGCAAGTTATACTATTCTCAAAATCTCACCGAGGCCGGCATCTACTGTCAGGCATTCGCGGACGATGTAATAATTATAGTATCAGATAAAAGCTCCCAGGAGGTAGAAGTAAAATCAAATAGAGCACTAACCATGGTCAGAGAGTGGGGGAGATCGAATAAACTGAACTTCGCACCACAAAAGACCAAAGCGATGGTAATTACAAAAAGACTAAAATACGACACCCCTCGTCTGACCATGGGAGGTATAGATATAGCATTAGAGGAGGAAATAAAAATCCTGGGAGTTATAATAGATAGGAAACTCACATTTAATAAACACATCACATACGTCTGCCAAAAGGCCACAAATATTTACAAGAGGATAGCGACATCGGCCAGAGTAACCTGGGGACTAAACCCAGAAATAATCCGAACGATCTATATAGCTGTGATAGAGCCCATAATACTGTATGCGGCAAGCGTCTGGGGGAAAGAGGCGAGCAAAATTAAGAGCAAAAAAGTACTCAATGGGGTACAAAGGGGGTTCGCACAGAAAATTGCAAAAACTTACAGGACAGTATCGCTAAATTCCGCATTAGTATTATCGGGGCTGCTTCCGCTGGACCTTAGGGTCCAAGAAGCATCCCGGCTTTATGAAGCAAAACGCGGGAAACCCCAGGCAATACTAAGTGGCAGGAAAATAGAGCAGAGGGTATCCTTACAGGAATCGAACCACCCCGGCAGCCTAAGTATGATAGAGTTTGAGTGTTTGGAAAATGCAGAAGAGGATGGTAAACTAGCAGAAGACCTTGTGAAGATCTATACAGATGGCAGCAAACTTGAGGGAAAAGTCGGTGCAGCCCTGACCTGTTGGAAAGGGGCTGTTGAGATCGCTTCCCGAAAGTTTAAGCTGGAGCCATACTGCACAGTCTTCCAGGCCGAGCTGTATGCCATCCTCCAAGCAACAGAGTGCATGATGAATAAAGAATGGAAGGATGCGGCGGTACTCAGCGATTCGAGATCCGCCTCACAGTCGCTACAGGATCCGGACTCTTCGCACCCAATCACGAAGGCGATTCAAGGCAACCTGGTACAACTTAGGGAACTAGGCCAAAGGGTCTCCCTATTTTGGATCAGGGCCCACGTCGGCGTGATTGGGAACGAGAGGGCGGACGAGCTGGCGAAGGGGGCGGCTCTCGGATTGAAGTGCAAACCGCACTATGATGGCTGCCCCATCTCCTTTGTCAAAAGGCATTTACGCAATTTGACAAAGGTAGAATGGGATAGCCGTTATAAGAGCGAAAACACCGCCGCCACTACGAAGGTCTTTTTCCCTAGCGGGGAAAGGGCCTTCGGAGTGGTAAGAAAGATGAAGATAGACAGGTGGGCTGCACAACTGCTAACGGGGCATGGAGGGTTTAAGTCCTACCTCCATGATTATAAACGTAAGGATACCCCATTTTGTGAGTGCGACCCCCAAGCAAAACAAGACGTGTTCCACGTCCTACTAGAATGTCCAATATTCGGAAACGACAGGCACACTTTACAAAATCACTTAAACACAAAACTTAGCAAGGAAAATTTGGAAACAATAGCGGCAGAGAATAAAGAAAGGGAGAAATTTATGAGACATGCTTGTATAATAATTGAAAAGGTTGCAAAGAGAAATAAAGACTAAATAAATGACAAATGCAAACAAAGAAATGTAAAATTAGAATTAAGAAGTAGGCAATCAATATTGTATTGTATAAAATAAATAGAGAGTAATTATAAAGGAAAAACAAAATGTAAATAAGATATATAAGAATGTAAATTAGATATAAGAAGAATGTAAATAAGAAATGAAAACATGTAAATAGCAAATAAGGAAAATGTACTAGAATATAAGAATAAGCAAAAAGAGGGAAAAAGAGCATTCCCCAAAAACCAAACAGGCATAAACCTGGAAACATAAAAAAGAAAAAAAGAAAAGCATGAAAACATAAAAAAGCTAAAAAGACAGCCTGCTAAACAGTGGGGGAACCTTCTAGAAGGGTTGGTAAACAACCTGAGTTTAGAAGAAACAGTAAATTCCCGCTTTCCATAATTAATAGGTACAATTCATAGTTATGAGTGAATTTCGCTCATATGCAATAAATAAATAACAAATATTTGTAATAAAATGTATTTGAAAGCAAACATTCACTTAAGAGACCGATGTTTACAATGCCTCCGTTTCATTGTAAGACTTACTATGTAAAAATAAGCAAAGGAAATTTTTACAATTGTGGTAATTTATATTAGATATTAGCGTTTATTTTATTATAAAGATGTGGATCGAGATGAAGTGGAAGTCTTTTGGTAAAGGTAAGGTTCGTTTAAGATGGGTAATTTTAATAAATAACAAGTGTCTTTTTTACTATGTATTTTTACTATGTATGTACGAAAGAAGAGTGGTTACATTGTCTTTGATAAGCTAGAAAATGTACTAAAAGTGGCGTCTTTGTGTGATCTGTCTGGCATAATAATATTTTATTTGTTTAATTATTTTAATTTCTATGTCACTAAATATAAAGATTAACAAATTCTATACTGTTATAAAACAATATTCATATATCGCACACCTAGATCTAAACCGAGACAACTCAAAAATTTGAGTAAGTTTTGACTTAGTACAATATTCAAATATTCGGTGATCATACGCATCTATCCAACACAACAGATTCAATAAAGGTTCGGGGATGAGGCGCTAGATAATTTTAGCTTTCTTTTTTGAATCAACAGTGGTCGAGCTCCTGCCACATAAACAAATGTATTTTGAGTCCCTCCAAATTAGTTTTTTGAGTTGTCTTAGTTTAGATCTAGGTGTGCGATATGTAGGAACTACATAATTCTAATATTAAAAAGATGACTCGCAAACTCGTTATTATTCGCAAACTATTATGATAATTGTAAAAGTGCTACATAATTCCCTCGGCTATAAAATCATTTAAATACTTAATATTTTTTTCTGTAATATATATATAAATATAATACAACAAAAAATGAAAAATATTGATGAATTTTGGTACAATCTTGTGATTTATTTTCTACTGATAAATTATTTAAAACGTTATTTTTTATGTCTTAATTATTTAGTTCAAAAGTATTTAAAAGTCGAGTGATATTAGCTGCATGAGCCCTATAATCAACTATTAAGAACTGTAATGCTTCTTGTATATCATTTTTATTACCGGACAGTTATGTTTGGGCAACTTTTTTAATTATTTCAATAAGTTATTATGTAGGGCCCTACAAAGCGTACCGACATTAGCGGAGCCGTTTGAGATTCATGTGTGCGTAAGCAAAGAGTAAAGAGCGTGTATTAATTGCCAAGTTTTCATTTATGTGAATAATAACTTATTGAAATAATTAAAAAAGTTGCCCAAACATAACTGTCCGGTAATAAAAATGATATACAAGAAGCATTACAGTTCTTAATAGTTGATTATAGGGCTCATGCAGCTAATATCACTCGACTTTTAAATACTTTTGAACTAAATAATTAAGACATAAAAAATAACGTTTTAAATAATTTATCAGTAGAAAATAAATCACAAGATTGTACCAAAATTCATCAATATTTTTCATTTTTTGTTGTATTATATTTATATATATATTACAGAAAAAAATATTAAGTATTTAAATGATTTTATAGCCGAGGGAATTATGTAGCACTTTTACAATTATCATAATAGTTTGCGAATAATAACGAGTTTGCGAGTCATCTTTTTAATATTAGAATTATGTAGTTCCTACATATCGCACACCTAGATCTAAACTAAGACAACTCAAAAAACTAATTTGGAGGGACTCAAAATACATTTGTTTATGTGGCAGGAGCTCGACCACTGTTGATTCAAAAAAGAAAGCTAAAATTATCTAGCGCCTCATCCCCGAACCTTTATTGAATCTGTTGTGTTGGATAGATGCGTATGATCACCGAATATTTGAATATTGTACTAAGTCAAAACTTACTCAAATTTTTGAGTTGTCTACGTTTAGATCTAGGTGTGCGATATATGAATATTGTTTTATAACAGTATAGAATTTGTTAATCTTTATATTTAGTGACATAGAAATTAAAATAATTAAACAAATAAAATATTATTATGCCAGACAGATCACACAAAGACGCCACTTTTAGTACATTTTCTAGCTTATCAAAGACAATGTAACCACTCTTCTTTCGTACATACATAGTAAAAATACATAGTAAAAAAGACACTTGTTATTTATTAAAATTACCCATCTTAAACGAACCTTACCTTTACCAAAAGACTTCCACTTCATCTCGATCCACATCTTTATAATAAAATAAACGCTAATATCTAATATAAATTACCACAATTGTAAAAATTTCCTTTGCTTATTTTTACATAGTAAGTCTTACAATGAAACGGAGGCATTGTAAACATCGGTCTCTTAAGTGAATGTTTGCTTTCAAATACATTTTATTACAAATATTTGTTATTTATTTATTGCATATGAGCGAAATTCACTCATAACTATGAATTGTACCTATTAATTATGGAAAGCGGGAATTTACTGTTTCTTCTAAACTCAGGTTGTTTACCAACCCTTCTAGAAGGTTCCCCCACTGTTTAGCAGGCTGTCTTTTTAGCTTTTTTATGTTTTCATGCTTTTCTTTTTTTCTTTTTTATGTTTCCAGGTTTATGCCTGTTTGGTTTTTGGGGAATGCTCTTTTTCCCTCTTTTTGCTTATTCTTATATTCTAGTACATTTTCCTTATTTGCTATTTACATGTTTTCATTTCTTATTTACATTCTTCTTATATCTAATTTACATTCTTATATATCTTATTTACATTTTGTTTTTCCTTTATAATTACTCTCTATTTATTTTATACAATACAATATTGATTGCCTACTTCTTAATTCTAATTTTACATTTCTTTGTTTGCATTTGTCATTTATTTAGTCTTTATTTCTCTTTGCAACCTTTTCAATTATTATACAAGCATGTCTCATAAATTTCTCCCTTTCTTTATTCTCTGCCGCTATTGTTTCCAAATTTTCCTTGCTAAGTTTTGTGTTTAAGTGATTTTGTAAAGTGTGCCTGTCGTTTCCGAATATTGGACATTCTAGTAGGACGTGGAACACGTCTTGTTTTGCTTGGGGGTCGCACTCACAAAATGGGGTATCCTTACGTTTATAATCATGGAGGTAGGACTTAAACCCTCCATGCCCCGTTAGCAGTTGTGCAGCCCACCTGTCTATCTTCATCTTTCTTACCACTCCGAAGGCCCTTTCCCCGCTAGGGAAAAAGACCTTCGTAGTGGCGGCGGTGTTTTCGCTCTTATAACGGCTATCCCATTCTACCTTTGTCAAATTGCGTAAATGCCTTTTGACAAAGGAGATGGGGCAGCCATCATAGTGCGGTTTGCACTTCAATCCGAGAGCCGCCCCCTTCGCCAGCTCGTCCGCCCTCTCGTTCCCAATCACGCCGACGTGGGCCCTGATCCAAAATAGGGAGACCCTTTGGCCTAGTTCCCTAAGTTGTACCAGGTTGCCTTGAATCGCCTTCGTGATTGGGTGCGAAGAGTCCGGATCCTGTAGCGACTGTGAGGCGGATCTCGAATCGCTGAGTACCGCCGCATCCTTCCATTCTTTATTCATCATGCACTCTGTTGCTTGGAGGATGGCATACAGCTCGGCCTGGAAGACTGTGCAGTATGGCTCCAGCTTAAACTTTCGGGAAGCGATCTCAACAGCCCCTTTCCAACAGGTCAGGGCTGCACCGACTTTTCCCTCAAGTTTGCTGCCATCTTCTAAATCTAAACCGAGACAACTCAAAAATTTGAGTAAGTTTTGACTTAGTACAATATTCAAATATTCGGTGATCATACGCATCTATCCAACACAACAGATTCAATAAAGGTTCGGGGATGAGGCGCTAGATAATTTTAGCTTTCTTTTTTGAATCAACAGTGGTCGAGCTCCTGCCACATAAACAAATGTATTTTGAGTCCCTCCAAATTAGTTTTTTGAGTTGTCTTAGTTTAGATCTAGGTGTGCGATATGTAGGAACTACATAATTCTAATATTAAAAAGATGACTCGCAAACTCGTTATTATTCGCAAACTATTATGATAATTGTAAAAGTGCTACATAATTCCCTCGGCTATAAAATCATTTAAATACTTAATATTTTTTTCTGTAATATATATATAAATATAATACAACAAAAAATGAAAAATATTGATGAATTTTGGTACAATCTTGTGATTTATTTTCTACTGATAAATTATTTAAAACGTTATTTTTTATGTCTTAATTATTTAGTTCAAAAGTATTTAAAAGTCGAGTGATATTAGCTGCATGAGCCCTATAATCAACTATTAAGAACTGTAATGCTTCTTGTATATCATTTTTATTACCGGACAGTTATGTTTGGGCAACTTTTTTAATTATTTCAATAAGTTATTATTCACATAAATGAAAACTTGGCAATTAATACACGCTCTTTACTCTTTGCTTACGCACACATGAATCTCAAACGGCTCCGCTAATGTCGGTACGCTTTGTAGGGCCCTACAAAGCGTACCGACGTTAGTGGAGCCGACATTATCCTCATGACGTTATAGTACTCCTAAAAGAACCTGAAGTCGTGATTTAAAGTCTTTTTTATATAAATATAGTATTAATAAAGCCTTTATTTTGATAATACACATTTAAACTATTATTTTGGACTAGGTACAACATTAAATAAGCACAGTCATACTTGATTTAATATTGGCCACATATTCGGTATATTTCACCTCTGTGTAGGGGACGGAATCTGGATATCTATAATATATAAATTAAATAATCTAAACACGAAGCATGTTATTATTATGGTTATAAAATATTTAAAAAGTAAATATATTTAAGGAACACGTTTAATGAAATAATAAGTTTAACATGTTAAAGAAAACCCAAAAACGGGGTATGTAACTGTGTTATAAGTACTTATACCATCATTATTTTAGTAATTTTGTTGTAAGTTTTTTATTGACATATACTATAAATACTAGTATAGTTAGCCGTTTCATTTAATACTAGAATCTAAGCAACCGAATCCGTCACAAATCTTAATTTTTTTGCACGAATCCAATGATGTTTTGTTATTAATGTACAAATTTTAAACCTTTGAAGATGAAGCCAGTTACATAAAAGCCAGTGAAACTAAATTCCATAGTTCGAAGGACAATCTCCTTTACTAATATGCAAAAAATAGTAAAATAATATATCAAAATACTCTACTAAATATAATAACTCTGTTACAAACCTTGTTCCAACCGAAACCAGAAAAACGTGTATCGTATTTAGGAACAGACCGGTGTACCACTAGATACGGCTCGTAGTCTGATTGCCATTCCACCTGGTAAAAAAATATATAATTAACAAACTAAAGGCCTGTACACACTGACTTTTTAAACGCACCGCTAACGCGTGCATAACTAACGTGCGTATTGCAACAAACGGCATGTTTAAAGAGTGCGGTGTGCGCAGGCTGTAATGAGTAAATTGAAAATACTTCTGGTGTGCTTCTGTTTAGCCAAATAAAGAAATATTGAACAACACTTCATTACATTGGTGATATCCCTAAATTAGTAGCTATAACCTTTGTATTATGGAAATCTGAAATAAATTCATTTTCATATTGACTCGGTACCTCAGACATGGTGACACCTTAAAACCACTCCACTCGGCCACGGATTTCTTCGAAAACAATTTCGATGAATACGAACATAATGGTTCTCATTTTATCATAATTTTCCCTTAGCATGATTGCAATCAACGATCGTTGCCTGTCGATTTTTCCTTTTTTTTTAAGGAAAAAAAAACGGAGTATTTTTTTTTAAAGACAAACAACAGACAAAAGCATATTGTTTTTATTAAACAATACTAGACAATGCCAACTGACTAACACTGGAGCATGCCATGTACGGAACGTCTGTATTTTTTTTTGTAATAAGCAAGCGTTGATCGTCTTTAGTTTACGGTCATCGACGGCAAACTCGAAGCGAACGGCTAGTACTACCTACACATGCTTAATTCAACGACATATCTAAAACATTGCAAAATTGGAAAGTTAACCTTTAAATATAACGGGCTAAGATTCACTTCACAGTCTCTAAGAGAAGCAGCATCAGCAATAAATAATCAGCAGTAAAAAAATATGAAACAAAACCTAGTACAAAAACAACAAACAGGCCAATTCTACTAAGGTTTACGTAATATACGCATATCAATAGAATCTCAACGACTATCTACTTAAAGTCCAATATTGATGAATATCCAATATGCGAGAAAGACATTGCACTAATAATATTTAACTAGGCAGATAGTACCTAAACAATGGTAAAATGCAAGTTGCTGATATTCTCTTGATATGTAATGATTACATAAACATTTAACGAAAAATGCTTAAAACATCCACTTTATCCCTGGCACTCTGAGATGGGATTCGAACCCATGACCTAACAGGACTGACAAATTTTTCAAGCACTTGTTACTTTTCGCTACTACATAGCGTATTTTCATCAATGTTCAGGCAGTGTATTTTGAATTATCAGTTCTAGGTGTATAATTATTACCTCATAAGGAGCAGTAGCGGTGACCCATTTAGTATAGTTGGTGGCGCGATGCCCTTTAGGCCATTCTCTTGCCCGGAACGGCGCCACGTCCCCCGCGCTGTGACCGCCCGACAGCCGCGCGAGTAACGCCGGCTTGTTGCGCGGCGGAGACGCGCGGTAACGCTGCGTCTCGAAAGCTGCCACTACTAGACACTGCAAGGGGTTATAAATCATAATCAGGACAGTTCATTTGCTAGAATATAGAACAATACAAAGTCGTTCACATATAAATCATCGGCAATATTTAAAGAAAGTGGGCAATTATGGCGCCCATATTTTAAAGAGCATTACTTATAAAAAAATTACCCGTTTATTAATATAACGATAATTAATTTTTATATAAACATTTATCTAGTTACTTCTTAATTTATGGTGAAATTCAAGTTTTTCATTTGAACAACCAGTGAAAATTACAATAAATTCAACAGTGAACTGACTTGAGCAGACCAGATTTACATTAAAAGAAAGTCTTTTATACGTACATCAATTACAAAAACTGTCCCATACTATTACCTTTTTCTGTGCATAGGGGTTTATCAATTTGATGGCTGATCTTAAATGGTCATATAAGCCCGCCATCGGCACGAAGTCTGCATCCATTAGAAATACGTATGGTGTGTTCACATTGTCTAGAGCTACGTTACGTAGATAGTTAACTGGGTAATGGACCTGGGAATAATGTCGAAGTTATATAGGTTATACAGTGTAGCTCGGCAGCCTAGTGGATAAGCGCCGCGGCCCGAGATCGTTGTTGTTAAGCAACTTTTGCAAGGGTCGGTCATGGGATGGGTGATCAAAAAAATATTATCTCGAACTACTCCAAGCTTGGGATGGCTCGTTAAGCGTTGGCACCGGTTGCATTTGTAGTCATTAGTACCCTCCGATCCGCATTGGGCCAGTACGGGGGCCATGGCCTCTCCTCCTTAATCATCCCTAAGGAAAGCCTGAGTCCCTGCAGTGGGGATGTTAAAGTTCAAATGCCGATGATACAGGATTAAATGTCAAACATTAGCAACGTTCAATGGAAAAATTAATTTAAAATTATTTTTTGCATAAAAGTAAAATGTAACGAATTATCTAAACAAGAGTTGTTAGTTATTAAACTTACGAGGCTCCTGTGTTAAATAATTTAGCTAAGGGTACTATTATAGCCAAAACGTCATTTTTTTAATTTACTCGGTAGAGAATAAATCACAAAGTTAAATACACCGAAATTCATCATATTTTTATGGTAATTATACCTTTTTATAGGAAAATAAAAAAAATAATAAGTATGTAAATCACTTTATAAATGAGGAAATCGTGCAGCACTTTTATGATAGGGATAAAAAACAAGGTAAAAAAAAAGAAATTCTATTAACGCCCGTTTTCACTAAACTTAGGAGTCACCTAAGTCTGTCGCCAAAATATTTAGGAATCGCCTAAAGTAAAAATGATTTCACCATTGACTAGGAACCACCTAACGAAATTAAGTAATGTCTAAAGTTATGATATTTGTTATGCGGCGCCTTGCGTTAGGCTTTTGCGTATATCATAGTCATAAATATGTCAAGGGATAAAAGAAAAAAATATTTATTTGTAAATTGAAGTAATCTGCTTAGGCGATTCGAAATATTAGGTGTTTCCTAGTTAAGCTACGCCTCGTTCGAGGTTAGTGAAAATCCGTCAATTGGATAATATAATAATATTAGATAAGTTTTTTTTTTTTCTTTAATTTAAACAAGAAATTTCTTATATAAATAAGACATTAATTTTTATAAAAAAATAATCTTGTCAAACGTGTGCAATGTGTGCCATTGAGAGTCACTTTTTGGGTACATACACTATATAATCGCATCGTACGTATTTAGACATTATATAATCTAAGAATCTAAGATTCCTTTAACAGTCAGTTAGTAATTTTAAATCACCATTCAAAGATTGTTTTAGTGGATACGATCTTATGATTATAAAGGTTCGTCATCAGACGCATGAGTAAAAAGTTTAGGTATATCTTGATATCTCTTATTTAAAAGAGACTTTTAAACTAGTGTCCCCTTACTGTTTTAACAGGACAAAGTGAGATAGAGAGAGAAAAAATCTTCTTAACGATTGCCTAGTTTTATTTATTTTCTCATATAATAAGTAGAATTAGCTAATATCTGCTTTCCTCCTTCCTATATGAATTATATGTACAGTGCATTTATTTGAATTAAAGTTTCATCAATCGCTTGTAACCATAGTTCTAATGTTATGAAATATTTATAATCAACTTACGGAGTCATGTTTGAAAACTAAATGATAGCCGATGTTACGTCTCGTGCTCAATGTATCGGACCAATCTCTGATGAAACTCTCCAGCTTGGTCACTTCACAGTCTGACAGATAGATGGCAGCACTGAGTGGCCCTGTATAAGAATAATATTATAAAGGCGTGTTTACACACCGAAAAGCTGCCACGCGAGGTAATTTTAGTAATTTAATCGAATTCAGTCGCTTACTCATAGCTATCATACTTTAATAATCATTGCAAGTCTTTATAAGTAAATATATTGTTTTTTTGTTATTCGCGCACCGAGTTTTACTGTCAAGTTATCGATATTCGTTAGTTTTCTGGCAACCAAATTTGACAGCTGCGTATTGCAAAATACACTGATTTGCGATTAAAGAAGAAGACTATATTCTCTGGCACGTTATCGGCCCGTCATGATGACACAAGAAATGCATGTTTATTGCCTCGCGCGTCCACGACATAAAAGACACCTCGAAAACTCTGCATAGCTGGTTCGTACTCACAGCATCGAGTACTTACATCGCGAAGCTCAATGCATACACGAGCAGCCTCGCGATGTGAATGCATGCCTGTTGTGTGCCCCTTGTGTCAAATTAAGCGTTACCGCGAGACTGCCTCTCGACTTCTGCTCGAGAAATCAACTTCGCAATGTGTACACGCATTGATGCAACGTTCAAAGTAGCTGTATAAATGTATATTAATTCTTACATGTCTATGTAATAACAATAGCCTTACCTTCCCAATACTTTACAAGTCTCTCTAAGAATTGTAGTCGATCCATAGACAATTGCAGTACAAGTGTGACGTCAAAATTGTCTATGTTTGTGTAAGTATAGTCCATGTAGTAAATATGTGTTCGTAACTTAACGCGCTGTGCAGCTCGGAAACTTATGCATAAGTCTGAATGGTTCATCTGTAAATAATATAGATATTCGCAAAAATACTCAGTCTTGTATTGAGATTGATATCATAATGTTTACCGCGTTCAGTATTTGCACAGGTTAAACAACTTTCATAATTTTACGATATTTCGATGTTCAGATATGACTATTTTGTTTAAAAAGGCATGTTAAGCAATTGTCAATACTCATATGGGACTTAATGTATTGCAATCTATTTCTTAATTACTTTTCATGATTCGATTTACAATGCATTTCTAATAGCAACTAAAGCATGTAATAAATCTAACATTTATCACCATGACGTTATCACAAGAAAAAAACCTAATTATTTGCACTACACATATAAAACATTAAATGTATTGGAATCATATCTGATAAGAGTATAGTTATAATATCAATACCATTATTAATACAGTGATGACTGAAATAAACTTTTAATATCAACATCTATTAGAAAACATATTATATGAATGTAAGTATCACATCAGATTGTTTCTGTATTCAATATTGACCTCAATTACAACAGAGAAAGGCTTTAAAATTATAAGAGAGTTTTTAAATTTAACGGAATCTATTTAACTAATATAAGGAGCTAGAATAGTTAAATATTAAAACGTTTAAAATAGTGCTTATTTATGACTACTTTCTGCTCGCGTTGATTACATATTTTTATACAAATTTGAAACTCCAAAGCAGTATTAAAACTCTTTACGGATTGAATTTTTAAAAATATTTTCTTAGCACACCCTATTTGTTGTAATAGAAATTAACCTTTTATATTTTTCCTTTTATACAGAAAAAAGTTGTTAAATGTGCATAAATAATGTCCTTATTTAACACATTTTAAGTAGTTTTTTTTTTTTATTTCAATTATACTAAAAGTTATTTTCATGAATACAAATCTCATCATTTATCATCACATATAATATGTCCTGAATAATTCACATAATTAACCCAATTTAAAGGATTTGATTGGTGGTATCCTTTCGAGGTTTTTACATTTTTTATTACCCTTCGAAGCGGTTTCCTAATGGCACTGATAGATGGTGCCAGCAGCACCATGTCGTCCGCGTAACTACGAGTAATATTGTTAATGCATATACCGTCTATATAACATAAAATTGGTTGCCTACTGAGATTGATTATCAGCCATTAACATAAAAATTAAACAGCTGTGGAGAGGACACCCCACCCTGTGTAACCCATATTTTAAACCATATGCATCAGAAAGTGAGCCAGACCATTTTACCCGGTTAACTTGGTTACTATACCAATATTCAAAAATAGATCATATTTCCTTTGGTAAATTAGTTTCATGAAGCTTTCGTCACAACATTATCATAGCATACTGTGTCGAAAGCTTGCAAGAGATCTAGAAAACAGGCAAAAACCAGTGTCTGTATTTTAACACAACATCATATTGAATAACGTATTGAAATATAATTAAATTCTTATTGCGCATCATGAAATTTTAAATGCTTAACTAACTGTTTACCAAGTAACAAGTGAAATTGGTCTGTAGTTATTTTTATCAGATATAAACATGAAGCAGATAAAAATGAGAAATGCATAACGAATAAAACAAAGACAACACTCTAGACAAATGTGGACCCGCGTTCCGCAAGTATTCGATATTGAGGCCGAGATACATGACCCGAGAACTTCCCTATGATTATATCTCTAACGTCTCTTGTCGACACTGCTCAGGCTCGAATAGTGACGTTAGAGCATTTAATCATAGGATCTACATAACAGTGATATTTAAAAAGATTTATACAACTAGAGGTGTGATATCAGGTTTGATCTTTAAATACTTTTAAAAAATTTTAAGAAATTTTTGGAATATTAAGAAATGTATTCTATTATTATTATAGTCTATTCCATAAATGTATCCATTTTAATTTGATCCTAATTATTTTGATATCAATTAATAATAATAATAAAATCATTTATTCATCTCGGATACCTTTACATAATTAACATTAGCTTTAAAAATTCTCACACTGAGTGAATAATTCAGGAAAGTCCAGCAGTTTTAATCTATCGATACAAAGTTCTGAATATTTGAGGGAGTTGACATTCTCCCTATATAACAGACTTATCAATATTTTGACAGCTTACTTACTTCTTGGCACCATGATTTTATATGCATCATGCCCACATACATGTTTAAATTATGAAATTAAGAAGATGATTCTCCTTACATTCAATGGTATCTGTTTACGCTTGTCACACTTTTTATTAGAGCCTGGATTAAACCTATTGGACCACTGTGATAAGGTTCTATCTACTTCGACGTATTGTATTCATGTCAGCTATCACAAAATTGTTTACTATAGACGCGTTTTTTATATTTTCCACATCGGTTTTCAACTCAGTAAGCTCTTCGCTCAATGCATAGGTTTGTTTAATATAGACAACATCCCTTTGCAAAACCAAGCATACCTAAAAACTGCTTACTGATTGCCATCTTTCATTTTCATTTTACATATATAAATTGATTTATTTACTTGACATTGGCAGAATTGTGCAAAATGCACAGATAATCATTATAGATAAAAAGGTCTTTTACATGCTATTTATGATAACCTTACATGCCAACTTAATAATAGATTGTTATTGAGATGTATTTAGTACAGTTGAGATGTAATTAGTATTTAGTACATATTTAAATAACTATTCATGTTCATTTGTTCTATTAACAACATTAGAACATTTTTGTCTAATTAATACATACCTTGTAGGTAACTATTTCGCTTTGTCCACACTTATGTAGTTTTTCTTTTAATAAGTTTCCATCAAAATTCACATAAGATTGATGAATATTCCTAAAAAAATCAGCATCTCTAATTCTTATATTATATTTTCCTGGAGAATTCCAATGAATCACCTGGAAAATTTATTAAAATCTTATTAATATATACATGAATATATAAAAATTAAGTATAATAAGAATATGAAATTTTAAAATTAATCATAATGAATTATGTCAAGTTACTAGAGTGAGCAATATTGACAATACTTCTTACTTAAACGATTGACCATAAATGGTTAATCACATAAAACTCGAAACATTTTAGTTATGCCATATGTTGAATCAATAACATTTTTTTAAGTTATAAAATAAATATATACAAATACTTAAAATAAAAAATAGCTAATATATACCTTTATATTATTAGTGTCTTCTCCATAACAATTTTTTGCTAATGTTTTTGTTGACATTTGTACATTATATTGACAGCTTATGTTATATACAAACTCAGGATTTTTCTTAATGATTGCATTGATAACATCTTGGTCTGCAAGTGTTGTCTGTTTTAAATGGTTCAAGTTACTCTTTACAGCATCATGCCATAAATACTTCCAATCCACATTAGCTCTGATTTTGTGCAGATCTAGTAACATTATTCCAGTGTTATATCCTCTGCCTAATGCTGGCCATTTTTTTCCATCATAATACCAATCACTCTCGTTTTCTACTAGACCTATGAACTAAAAGTAAAATAAGAGAAATGGTCATTTCTAGATACACACAATTTCCTAATCTCTAATTAACATTACTTTACTTACCTGATCATTTGTCATATTTCTAAACATAGCCCATAATTCAGCAATATCAAACAAGAATGTCAAGTCAGAATCAAGGACAATAACTTGTTTCAGTGTAGATGGCAAAATATTTGGAAATAATAACTTAACCAGAGCATATATACCAGAGTAGTGAGTGTTTGGAACCCATCGGACTTGAATCAGTTGATTTTGTGCATTATAACAAGTATATTTTACTGAAAAACAAAAGACTCATATTAGTAATAGTGACTGTGTTAAGACATTGTAAAAGAAAAAAAAAGATAAATATATAATCTGATAATTGTTATTGTTACCGTCTGGCAAGTCCCATGTGTCAAAAAGTGTTTCTGTAATGTGTTGTGAAGACCCATCGACAATAAAATGGAAATGTATTGGGTTCTGACGATGATGGAGCAGTGACTTCAACATAGGAGTGATGAGGCGCATACATTTACCCATACATACTAACGCAACATGGATTGTTTCACATACAGTACCAACGGCATCTGGTATCTAAAACATTATGTTATTTCCAACTAAAGCTTTTACAATTTATAAAATGGCACTTTTATCACCATCATCATCACCAGCTTAGTAATGTCCTCATTGCTGAGGCACAAGCCCTCCTAATGGTTAGAATCAAAGATAATGGGCTAATAATAAATGTTAAATATTCATGGAATTTCTGAATGTTTTCTTTCTATTTGTTATCTAACTAAGATCATGTACAATGGAACATTTAAGTGCAGAAAATTGGAGCTCTTTAACCTAACCTACTTAGCTAAAGTTTAGGTCTTTTTGGAAAAAAGGTTTTATTATATACTTTTTGACAACACCCAAAATAAAACTGAAAATACTTACAACAGGTATTTTATATGTTGTGGCAGAATCTACCACACCAGCAGAATCTATAGACATCTGTCTAAGTGCTGACTGGGAAAGCCTCAGTTGTGTCTTGAAGACTTTGTTTTGCGTTTCTAAAACACTTATCCGAGATATAAGCCACCAATAGTAGACTACAGACACAGCTATCCATATTCCAAATGGCACTCCTAACCAGGGTCGTAGAAAAAGACATGACAGTACATTTTTAGGCTTGAGTATCATTCTGACTGTACCAGCATAATTAATTAAATTATAGTTCAATTCTGTACTGTATACCTACTGAAAGAAAAATTATTAAAAATTTGTTTCAATAGGTGAATAAACAAAGAAGCTTAACCAGTCAATGAATTTCATAGAGAATCTACGGTTACATGTAAAAGTAGACTTACCACTTTCAGTAGTCACTTATTTCGTCGTATTATCATTTTTCTTATCTAGCCTACTTATAACCAACAATTTATTAATATTTCACTATTGTTTGCACTGATACTTGAAAATAGAATTAAGAATAATAAAATTCTTTTTGTCCAAATGAGTTCTTAAGTTATATGGTTTTATTACAACTGTATCATTTAATCGTACTGTCTGTTTACAAAATACACGAGAAAAGAAAGAAAAAGAAAAACCGGAATATCACACGACATTGTACATTATCTATCAATGTCAAGTTGACATGACAAACGTGTTTGACAATGAATAGGCATGACCGATATTTTAGAAAATTGATCCACAATAATACGATTTAGCGGTTTTTTGAATCGATTTAGTAGAATACGATCTAAGCTTAGATCGAATCGTATGATCATAAACAAATTGAATCATGCGATTTTTGTTGCTTTCATTGTTTATTTAATCAATAAGATGAGTCCGCAGAGGTTACCCTCACTTCACGTGATAATTCCATCGACCTTTGTAGATTTTTATCTTAGTAATACCGTTTTGGAGATTTTGGCGCCAAAAAATATGACAAAACATAAAGATTAAGGGTATGTTCTGATATACACTGCGAGCACTGCGCAGTGGTCTTACTGCTGAAAAATTCGTTCCGTTATGGACTGCCAGTACACTGCTACAGTACCCTAGGGAAATTTATGACGTCATAAATTCCCGCCATATTTGTATTGTGAGCACTGGAGATTTCGAGGTAAGATGCTCGCAGTGCTTTTGATCACGTGATCAGTCGAAACAGAATCAGAAAATGATAAGTTTCAAAATAAACAAATAAAATACTTACGTTTATTTATAAGATGGATTTAATTGATAAATAATTTTTTTATACAATTTTCCAATTTTCTTTTGAAAAGAGGGAATCTTTATATTTATATTCACCTTGCAGTAACAAATTTGAAAATGGCGCCAAAAAATAGGATTAACAGTATACTGGACTGCGTTCCGTTTTAAAAAGTCACCAGTATAACTAGCTATAAAGGAACGGGCTTCCAGTATACTAAATTGACGTCATACTGTTCAGTGGTCGCAGTGTATATCGGAACATACCCTTAATTAAGAAACAAGCATGATATTATGGTACTATAATTTGCTTGCTCCTGCATAAAAACTTTGATTTGCCCTCCCTTTTCCACACAATCTGCGCCGGTGGTCTATTTGAAAACTATCATTATTTGTTGGCGGCCATGGAACGACTAGTGTCGCAACAGTACTCTGTCAGTTGCTCGCCTATTAGAGTCCGCATGGTAGTAGTGGCGTGCTTGAATTATGTCGAGCCGCCGACAAAGTTTCCCTACTTTCAATATGTGAATAAAGCCACCCACATAATTTTGATGGTATAAGTTTCCTGTTTTAGAAGTGCATTGTGCTTATTAACTATTTTTATTTCCTAAGCACTTTATTATTTCTAGCTCCATAATAAAAATTAAATACGCAACGTCGACATGTTGCAATAATTGACAGTCAAAATAGGTCTTATAACGACTGCTGACAAAGTTTTCCAACGTGCAATTTGTAAAGCATCAAGCTTGCCGATCAAATGTTGTCAATCTGCATATCGGCAACTTTAGGTATGCATTGCTTCATTTCTTGATATGAATTTTTAAATACAACATAAACATATTTGAAAGATATACCCCAACTGCTAATGCGCCTGGCCGCCATCTTGATGACGTAATTGAGTTCAAAAATCAGAACCGTTAAAGAGTTGAAATAAACACTGGTTGACGAGTACACGTACTTAGTTGGGTTGTGTTGAGATCACTTTTGGTTATGTTTAAAAATATATATAATTTCCATTTTTTATCGCGTTATTACAAAGAATGTTATTTTTTTATTTTATATGTAAAGCTCAATATCAACATATAAATTGATTCTTTTCCAAAAAAAATAATGCAGTAAATTAATTATTAAATTAATCTATACTATAATAAAAACGTAACCGATCGATGTCTGTACATTGAAGATATATGAAAAAAAAGTTATGAGGGACGTTTATAAGAGTAATAGAACACAAAACAATGATTTTTAAATTTTTCGGTTTGTCTGTTTGTCTGTGCGTTTGTGCACGATAAATTCAGAAACGGCTGAACCGATTTAAATGCAGTTTTCACTATTATTTTGCGGCATTCTTCCGTTAACATTTAGTGTAAGATTTATTTCAATCGGTTCACAAATAAAAAAGTTATGTCAATTTGAAGTGACATGGGCGCCAAAATTGCTATGAAATATTAACTGTTTTATAAAATTTTTGTCTTTGATATATTGATCATCATCATTAACTCTTTCACAGCTAAACTGCAGGGCCTCGGGCCTTTGTTTAATAATTTTTGGTCACCCATCCCGTGAACAACTCTTGCGAAAATTACTTAGCAATAGCGATCGTGTGCAGCGGCGCATATTCGTAGCGCCACCGAGCTACGAATTAATATTGTCTATAAAATGATAATTTGTATGATGACAAATAAAAAAATAAGATTCCAAAATTTTGACAACTCCGAAGTAAGTTGACCTCATTTATATATGGCCAATCATATTAAATAGGGTTCAGTTTATAATGGACATGTGGTATACGATCACGCGAGTAGGAGAACAAGCGGTGGGAGCCTTCTGATGATGCAATTAAGCCTCGAGTAGTTTACAGTGAACGCATATTTTTATCAGATTAGGTTCACGTCGTCGTCGGGGTCAGCGGAGGTGATTGGCAGCCGCTCCCGCATTGCACGGTTTCGTCTGTCTGAGAGAGGCACTCGATTTACCCGAGTCTCTCCAATTTTCCATCTGGTCCAATACTTGAGTGTCCTGGTGACTCGGCCATAGCTTGCCGGTTTTCATTTACCATGAGAAGGTGCAGAGTACGGATTTTGGTGGGTAGGCCTCTGGGGAACCACCGGGCAGCTCAGTGTCGGGTTCACGGAGGAGAATCCTACTCACCCCTGTAGCTTGCTAGGTAACAGAGACAATGTCAGAAGTTTTTCCACGACATTAAAAAACTTAGATTCACGTCAACTGAAGTTAAGAACGTAAAGACAACTCGAGTTATATATATTTTTTTCTCTTATTGCTATTTTTTTATGTTAATACTCTTTTTGTTTTTTTTTTAACATACAAATTGCTGTAGATACGTACTTCAAAGTTGGTATTTTCAGTCTTCGCTAGAAACAATGCTTTATTCATTGGTCACAACACTCATATAATATTACGCGAGTCTGAGGGTCGGTTCAGAGTAGCTCGGTGGCGAAGTGAATAAGTGCCATGGCCCGCGATTGTAGTTGTTAAGCAACTTTCGCAAAAGTCGGGCACAGGATGGATGACCAAAAAATATTATCTCAAGCAACTCCAAGCTTCGGAAGGCATGTAAAGCGATTGGTCCCGGTTGTATTTGCAGTTGTTAATATCCTCCAATCCACATTAGGCCAGCATGGAGAGTCGTGGCCCATCCTCTTTAACCATCCAAAAGAAAGGCCTAAGCTCCTGCAGTTGGTGACGTAAAAGGGCTAATGATGATGATGAGGGCCGTTCAAATCTGAAAGAAGCTCAGTTAAGCACCTCACGGAAGTATGTTAGTAGACGATTACCTTCGAGTGTGGAAAGCCGAAATTAAAATATGTATATAAATTTTTTTATATCAATAAATAAAATTCCACGTATCTTCCGTCAGACATGTACTGACCGACTTTTATAGACAAAGAAAGAGATCAGACAGAAAGCGCTCGGTCTCGGGAGACACCTGAAAAACGCGAAGCGTATTTAACTGCCCATAGCGAGGCTCATGCACTATAAAGTTGAATCTGAAGCATTTACTGCAGTAAATGCTATAGTAGTTATATGCAGTATGATATGAGTATAAAACTTCTTTTGATAGGGAAATGCGCTTGGTCTCTGAAAGAGCTCGCAGTTTGTACAATAGAGATCGAGAAAGTAGTTTCGATTATCGCCAACTAGTGTTGACTTCATACTCCACAGGTAGCGTAGCGCAGATAAGTTTTCACAGGGTATAATGAACTAGCTGTTTTCCCACGACTTTGCCGCAAAATTATAGCCTATGACATGCGCGTCTGATGTAGCTTCCCGTAGGTCGGAATCGCTCTGCAACTATCGGTCCAGTAGTGTTGGAGCAAATTCGATGCATACAAAAAACAACCAAATCTTTCCTCTTTATAATATTAGTATAGCTCAGGTATAAGGGGTCCGACGATGTAGTGGGTTAGCGCATTCGGTTTAAATTACAGTTAAATAAGTAAATAAATACTGCACAACAAGGACATACATGAATACTTATTTTACATAAATAAGTACAAACGACAAACTCATCGCTACCCAGCGATTTCTTCCAGGCAAACTAGCATTACATGAAAAATAGAACAATAAATAGCCGATTGTGCATACAACTAGACAAATAATATTAATTTAAAAAGATCAAACACAAAGGAAGGACCGTTTAAAGGTACGAATAAAATGCTCAGACACAAGCGACAACCAGAGCACGAGAAACGCAAACAAATAGAAAAATAACATTCGTAAGGACCGTTTACAGGATGGGTGACCAAAACATTATTATCTTGAGCACTGTGCACAACATAGCATAATGCACGCTAAGCTGTTGTTCTGGCTGCATCAGCAACGTTAACACTCACCGATCCGCATTAAGCCCGCGTATAGGTTTATGGTCCATTGATCTTATTCGATTCGTCTGTATTCATAGCAAAAAAATAATTCTACCAAAATACTTCCCACGCAGACGAAGTCGCGGGCACAGCTAGTATAACAATATTTTGGGGATTATTCATAAATATTTCAAAAATTTATCTCTTGCCTTTCGTGTTATCTGTACTTTTTATTTTCATATGTCGTCATGCGGGTGTTATTAGAGAAGGTTCAAGCACATTAGCAATTTAAGGGACTTATAAATTCATTAGGTAAACATAATTAAACTAGTATTGATTTTATGGCTTTTATTTAAAATTAACACATCATAATTAAACTAATACTAACTGCTTATCTACTTAAATTATGATAAAATATATGTTACTGTTATCTATAAGAAAACGTATTTTTGGGAGATGTCATGTAAAGACGAATAATTACTAGTTCAGTATGAAATCTGTGTTATATTATAAGGAATAGAAACCATAACCTATACTTAAGTAATTGATGTTTTTATCACACGAGCTTATAGTAACGTCGTAATGCGATGCAACAGCGAACAAAGCGAGATGGATGTCAATGTTTGCTGTTATGCCGTGTATTTTCTTTTCACTTTAATAATAGCATTTCAACCGCGTTAAGAGATCATGATAAACTTTTGAAAATAGTTTTCGTCTACTGTAAATGGTCCTCATTTAACAGTTAAAATATTAGGTAACGCAATTTAATGGCGAAAGGGTTTCGTACAACGCGTTATGCATTGCACGACATCTTTTTCTTTCATTTTTATCTTGCTTTGGTTCTCATTATTCTTTTCTGTTATAAGAACGTAATTAGTAATTAATCCTTAATCTGTGCACGTAATACACCGACGATCATTACTGTAGTCAGTATTTCCATCACCAGCTTTTTTGACCTATAAAAACTCTCGTGCCGACTTTCCAGCACAACTGTGCCAAAAAATGTCAATGAAATTGTGTATAAATTAATAAGAACAGTAAATTAGTAAAACATAAACTTACAACTATTCAATCTTAAACTAAGTACTATTACATGTTATAATTTCGAAAAGCTTATTTCTACGATCATTAAAATTAGACTCAGAAATTGTCTATGGTAAATTCACTGAATTGCTTATTGTTATGAAACCAAATAGGTTTTGTTGGGTTCCATTGTTATTGTAAAGTTTTGTTGTTACTTGTTATGGTTGAGTTAAATAGCAACTGCAATTATGATTTTCTTATTAAGAAACATAAATTCACTTATTATAAATATATAATAACTTTTGGTTATGTTTAAAAAATGTCCTTTCCGTTTCTTATCGCGTTATTACATTTAGCGTTATAGAAGTTGATTATTTTCCAAAAAATCATGTAATAATTATTATATTTGATCAATTTTGTCCTGTTAGGTCCTGGGTAGCTCAGTGGTTAGAGCAACGGGATGCGAAAGGTCATGGGTTCGAATCCCATTTCAGGGTGTTAGGGACGAAATGAATTTTTAAGCATTTTTCATTAAAAATATTCATGCAATAAATTAACAAGATATAGTATGTAAGTAAGTACCTACTTAGTTACAAAAGAAGCCTACCTTTGTAAATAAATTAAAGAGCAAAAGTTTCAGGTCACGTACAACACCTGATATTTTTCAAATTATCGGACATGCCCGATAGAACTAAGTTGTATGTAAAATATGTATAATTTATAATAAAATACAGTAAACTGAAGCTTTTACAATTTATATTTACTCCTTTTATTATTTTTTAAAAAATACCTCGCATATTGACGTACCTACTGATAGTATGTATTCGAATAATTTCTAAATAAATCGAAACTTTTACACGTTAATTTTGTTAAAAAAAACTTTATTTTCTGAAAGAACTAAATTGCTGAGCTATGTAACAATTAAATATTAATGATTAGATAAAGAGGAATTAAGGTTATAATATCTGAGTCATGCGATGGGTAATAAGTCCTTAATAAAGGTTAGTAGTTTTTATAAATGCATCAAAAACTAATTCTAATTTATTTCCGTTTCTCCGTCCCATCGCCTACTTTGTGGTGGGAGAGGTAACCCTATTGAAGGCTGTGATAAGCCCATCGGAGAAGGCTGTGAGCTCATTGGTGAAGGCTGTTGTAACCCCATTGGTGGCGACTGTGTTAATTCCATCGGTGGAGGCTGTGGTGGTGGCTCTGGTGAATTATAAGATTGCCCATAAGGGAATCTAGAAGTTTCAGGACTGTCCATGATTTGGACTGGGTCGGTGGGCTCTGGGCTCTCTTCTGGTATATCCTTCTTGTAAGGAATGCTTTCATCGTCTGAGTTGATTTTCATGGATTCATCGGGGTCGATGGGGCGAGACCTGTAGCATTTTGGAAATTTATATTAGGTACAGTATAAAATTCGTTGCCGAAATTTAAATAATACTTTAGAGATGTCTTCGGATTCCTTCGAAACGCCTGCCCGTCATAATTTTTGAGCCTATAGGCTTTGGCCCAATCTAAATTTGCAAGGCGAGAAGTTAGGTTTGTGCTTGCTACGTTTGATATTTTTATTAACATATGTTTAGAAACTTATCTTATAGCAAGTTACTATTTTGTGTAAGTTAATAAAGTATCTAGGTTTGCTGACAAATTCTTTATTTCAAAATCTTTCTAGCTGTACCAACTTTGAAGACAGAAGGATCTGGATATTAATAAAACATTGATAACTTCCGTAGTCTGATTTTGTGTAAGAAATTATATATCCTAGGATATATAATTTCTTTTTCGAATATTCGCTAAAATCTTACATAATACCTGAGTAAAATCTAAAAATCTTACTTGATAGTCATGAAGTCGTTCTCTTCTTTTTCTTCCTCCTTTTTTTTCTTCAATATTCGCCAGCCAACGCAGATGAGGACTATCACAATGGGTAGCATCACAGCAGATATGATGCCCCATGTCAGACCTAACGTTCGTGAAGAATATTCTTGCTTGCCTGTAAGATTGATAAATTGTAATTTTGTTCATGTGTAGTATAATAATAAATTTAAAAAAAAATGTGGCCAATTAGCGCATTTGGTCTCCTACTACTGCCATTGAGTAACTTTTTGCACAGATATATGACCAATTAATGGCTATTTTGTCGTTTGACAGTTTGTCCGTGTTTCATCTGCAGTAATTAACCACCAACCTACCCTAGGACTGAGTAGATTTGTTGGCAGTTTATCTATTGAGTGCCTGCGCTCCAACAGCATTAATTATGAAATAGCGCTAGTGCATTAAATAATGTTACCTATCTATCAGAAAGTTTCTAACCTAACACAAAATGTTGGTTGATAACGGATTTTTATCTATCTACTAAACAAAACAAATAAAAACCTGCGACACTCACCTCATTTTGTGACCTACATTTTATAAAATACACAAGATAAGAAAGCAAGCAATGGGTATTTTTTTTAAATAATAACGCATCACTCTAATGAGAAAATTTCTATTCCACTAATCCGTGGCTTATTCAAATAATATTTCTTGCTTTCTTATCGATATTATAGAAAAAAATAACAAAGTAAGCATATGGAAACCATTCTACCTTTGGGAACAGAAATTTCCTCTCACAGTGATTTCTATAGATTTTGGATAGGATATTTTAATATAAATCGACAATATATTACTATATTTTCTAAAGACAAATAAAATCTCTGAACTGCACAAACAAATAACAAAATGTAATTACAAAACAAATCTAATAAATAAAATACTTTAAGGTGCAAATATAATTTTAATACGTGTGTTGTAGGTAATACTAGTCATAATACTTCTAGTTTATAAACTAACGCCCTGATACTCCAATTGTCATTTTTCGGGCAGTAAATATTTTTTTTTAAATACAGTCTCATTGAAACTATCTGAGCGAACGCGGTGGTTAAAGTATTTAAAATTAATATAATTTGGTATTATATCTCTAAAAATAAAGAATTATCATTACTTAATCAAATAATTATTATGATCTCGTGAAAAAAATCTTAAACCATGGTTGAGCGACTACTGAATGTTGGCATTTCAGCCACTGGCGGATCGATCAATGTTTCCACGGACTTTCCTCTTTGTGGGGGTAACGTAAAAGTTTTTATTTCATCACTTACAGGTGCACTTTTTGGAGGATCTGGTAAACCAGGATTATTAAAAGTATTTCTAGGACTACCCGAAGTAGGACTCATGGCAGGAGAATAAATCTCAGAATAAGTAGGGGATGGTATAGGACTGTAAGCATTGTCGTATTTTCGACCGTACGGATCTTCAGATCCATCTTTAGTTGAATAACCTGAATCACTAGCAAGGGCATGACGTCCTTGTTGGCGCGGTTTGCTCACGTATTCTATATCCTTTGCTGGACGAGTTAAAGTAGAATCTCGATTAGAGTCAGATTCAGAAGGAGAAGTCAAAGATAAAAGATCTTCTTCGGACAAATCCCAAAGTTTTTCAGGGAAATCAACATCGGGTGCATTGGGTAACGGTTCATTAGTTCTGTAAGTTTTGTCGTAACGTCGTTTTTTGGGCAAAGTGGATTTATCTGATTTGCCTGAATCACTTCTGTTTGAATCCGTGTATCCGAGACCCGAACTTTCACCATCCTGAGGTTCGGGAGGTACAGGCGCAGACCTACTAGGTTTAATGATGGGAGCTTCTTCAGTGGGAGTATCAGGGAATTTAGGTTTTTCATCTGAGTCTTGGCTACGTAATGTAGAGGATTTCATAGTGTCCGTGATATTTCCCATTGATGCTGATCTTAGATTAAGTCTAGAGGCTGATTTAGATCGCGGTATGTCCTCGAAGCGAAATGGCTCTTTGCCCTCCGATTTCGGCTTATGATAGCACCAAAACCAGAAGAGACAGATCAATAGTCCCAAAGGTAGAATGATTGCCACAATTACTCCCCAAGTCAAAAACAGGGCACGTTGAGAGTACTCTTGGTTGCCTGCATATGAAACATATATTTAATAATTACATAACGTTTTCAGAAACAAACACCCCAGTCTTCAACGCACCAAAAAGTAATAGTTTTTGTTCATTAAATTTAAATTAATTAAGAAAAATGCAAGAAATCACCTGTTAACAAAATTTAATTAATCATTATTTTTCGTGTGACTGTGTGACTTGTATACTCTAGATTTAGATTCAATAAGTGCAGATGCTTTTAGTAATTTAATGATTTGAAGCCATAAGATTACATCTTTCGTAGTGTTTATTCTGATTTTAAATTTGAACAGTATGGCGGTGGTCGTGTATACTTACGTAAGCACTCAGTGTAGCCATGATCTGGGAGGTTCCACCTCCCATCTGCCTCACACACTCTTCGATTATCACCAATTAGAATGAAATTCTGGTTGCACTCAAAGCTCACCTGTTAAGCAAAAAAAATGGAAATGTGAATTAAAAGATATGATTATTATGTTTTCTTACCAACTCGAAGGAATATTGTGTTGACTTCTAAAATGCTCTACAAGCATTTCATAAATTATAATATCCAATAATAATCCACGTCAACTTATAAAATCAATATTACATGGTTATTACTAAATAAAATAAATTAGGTACGCAATTATTTAATTTAAAAAATCACAATTATTATTGTTTTGAGCAATGGCAAGTTGGATCATTCATCATCATTGACTTACCCTAGTTCCAGGTGTGAAGAAAAAGTTACTCTTTCTGCCGAACCGAGGAGTTTCCAAAATGCCACAACTTATAACCCTGCGTCTCGTTTGCTCTTTTATGTTCACCTGTAGTTCAAATTATACATTTGAATTTAATTCGTCAGAATATCGATGCTAATAAGAAAATTTTCGTAAGTCTAAAGTAGACATAGATATAAAAGGTACAAGCATTTACGGTATGGCTATCAGTATAAGACTGAATGCAATACCATAGAAGGATTAATGCCCCCCGAGGCCTTGGTCGCTGCATTATAATTAAAAGAACAATGGATAGACAAAATGCATCCGAGATGCGCACGCAATTCTATGTGTATATTTTAGTCATTATAATGCAAAACAGGAATTTATAAGAGGTAGAAACATCTCGGTATCATGATGTCTTCAAAATATTGTTCATTATTAAAGTATTTTTTGACTTTGGTGTAGAGCAGAGCATTCTTACATACAAATTCACATGCATCATATGCTTAAACACAATTTTATTATTATTTAGTGTTTAAATCGTCTCGAACACTGTTTAGAATGAACATTGTGAGTTTTTGAAAAATTAGTTGTTTTTATGCTAATATTATATTATTAAAATCCGGATTTCAGATTGATATCTTCACAAATCTTAATTGTTTGCCTATAACATTCACACTAAAATATTTATAAGTTATAAATTTGAATAAGTACAACAATACTTACAAGAGAAGACATATAGTTTTTAGTGAATGTTGCCATATCCCTGTCTAGAGTCATTCCGTAATCATAACGGCACTGGTAGGAGTCTTGGCAAATTTCTACAGCCCTGGCTACGTCATGCGATCGATTTGCAGGGAGGAAATCGACCGGTTCCCTGATGAAGTTCGGTTGAAACAGGTTGTCGTTGAAGTATGCAGCTGTTCGACCATATTCTCTGGTAAACATTGCCACTCCTATGTCCTTTTGTTCACGATCCATTAATTGCCCTAGAGAAGTGATTCGAGTTTATGGAAGCTATCTATCTGATTCATCATTTAAAAAATATACAAATGTTGAAACAGTATTTATATCACGCATAATTTTGACGTTTGAATACATTTATTTAAATACTTATATTGATTTTTTAGTTTTTGAAGATTTCGATTTCATTGAATGTCAGGGTGGGTTAATTGTTAGGCTACTAAAACTCTGTAGGTTGATATATCAACATTAATTACTTACAAAATTGTGCAAAGTCTCTGTGTGCTGATTGGAAGTTGTTCAGATCAATTGGCACGCGGGTTCCATCAGGTCTAGTAAAATCATCATTTACATCGAGAGACCAATTGCCAAAAAGACCTCGCGTTTGATTCTGGAAAAATAAGTTAAACAATTATTTATTATATATATCTAGTTTTTATTTAGAGTATTTTATAAGTTCATATTCATAAATTCATTTATTATGTATAGTGTTTATTTAGAGTATTTAATAAATCAATTTAAGAATTTGTTATCCTAAAATGTCATTAGTCACCATATAAGTCCAAGGAAGGTAAACCCTGGCCGTCATAAAACCTTTATTCTCCACAATCTCCACTCCAGCTCCCGATGCAAACATGATAACGATTTCCGACTGGTTTAGTATGTACATAGGTTGGTATACGGTTACTCCTGGAAATATAATGGAAGAAATATATAAAAACATACATTTTCTACAGCTCGATATGTAAGGGTACAATATGATTAACATATCTTTCAAGAGATTTCAATCAGTATCAATTTCAAAGCGTCGGATCATGTTTCTCAGACAACGGATTGTAGAACAAAAAATGCGTATCTCACCTGGGAAATATTGTACTCTAAGAGCACTTCTATCGAAATAAACTCGTCTATTATCAGCAAATACATCAAGCCTATATCTCCATTGAGCGTGTCGTGGACGAATTCGTACCTAAAAATATCACGAACTGTTAAAATAAATCCTATTTATTACCCAATACTTGAAGAGATAATCGTTATTCCATTCAAACCTCAATAGGCACGGAGTTGTTAGATGCTGCAACTATAGAAGTAAGCTGTGTTGCATTGACCGCTCCGTGTATATTTCTCGGTACTTGCTCGAATCTACCTTGTACGTCTAGTTTCAGATGAGGATGGTCTACTCTTACCAATACGTATTCACCTAGAAATTAGAATAATATTTAATAATGAAATCGCCTGAATACCTATCAAATTTCTTTTAGTTGTCTGTTTTTTATGAAAGGTACCTTTGCCGTTGAAAGTATAGTGAAGATCGTCAAAGGTTATAATATGAGGGTCTCCGAAAATACCAGCTACTCCAGGTGCTTGATAAGCTACACAATCTTGAGATGGACGGCGTTCAAACCTGTTAAATAATAGTATTTGTATTATTTTGATTTTTTAAGAAGAATTACTGAACTTGTACTTAAATGATTAAATCCTTAAAATATTATTATACCTAAAGGTTTCACATCCAACAGCTTGTTCTTCTTGCCATGAACAACATTGGTAGAATGGTATCATATCATGGAACCAATGAGATAATGATGGAACCTGTTAGAAACCATTAAAATATATAGTATAAAATACATTAGAATAATATATTAGAATAATAATGTTCTTTATCACAATGATTTCGAAAATTTTCTATTGATTACCTTGTTAGCTTCGTTATAAGGAGTGAAACCAAAGTCGTGTGACCTGTGTGGTCTTGATCCCCACATTTGATCGTATGTTAGCATTAGGAAACCATTCTTATCGTAGCAGCACTGTTGCCCTGATCCTTCAGCACTGTGAAAAAAAGATAAATTAATCATATCAAATATCAGTATTCAACGATTATAAATTTTGTTAAGAAAAAATAAACACAGGCTTACCTTGGTCCTCCACTTCTGACGCAATGTATACCGCCCCAGTGATATCTACATGTTGGATTCGTGTCTCTGTCACAATGTAAATCAGGCATGAAACGACCTTTGTCGAGTAGAGCATGTTCCAGTGTGCAAGGACAAATGGGTATTTGTGAAGCGAAATTCTTTAAGAAACGATCATTGCGAAGCCAATTATTGCACATGGTTTGTGGCCAACGCTGACCCCAGAGTCGTTCCCATTGAGGAGCAAAATACCAGGCTAGAGGAATCGGACGACTCCATAGAACACTGTAAAAAAAAATTAATTACATCATTAATTATCATAATTCTGATGAAATGAAACTAAATGATATACTTCAATAATAGTTTTTAATATTTAAGTACAATATATCCATATCAATTATAGTTTTATTATTGAAGTACATTTATTCTTAAAACGCTTACGGTGAAATTGAAATTCCTTTATATATTTCTGGGGTAGTTAAATTGATTTGTATAAAACCAAACTGCATATCATTGTGCATTATGTTGTCTCTGTTTCTGAAATTTTGAGGATTAATAATATATTCTCCTGTATTGGCTACACCACTCTCGATCATATCTATGAATTCCAGTTGAGGTCTAATGGTGACTTCTTTGTATCCCCATAAACTAATCTGTAGATGAACATTTAAGTTGGTGGTCAAGTTGAAGCGATTCCAAGTAATTTTGACTTCTGGTGGATTTCTTTGATGTATAGCATCGTCTGGGAAGAATATTTTCTCAGTAGCAGTTGCTGGTGTTTCTGCAAGAAGAAGTCTGCTTTGTACAAAAAGAATTACAAATACAAAAATAACATCGTGGTGAATTAATTTTGCATTAAATAATATGTTAAAGTTTTTAATTGTAAACGCAAGAGAAATAGCATACGTCTTTTTATTCTTACCTACGAAGAATCTGCCTTTCCACTTGAATGGTTCATTGTTAATAGCCACCTCGAATCTAGCATATCCGTTATGATAAAATCTTGGTTGGACACATACAGCTCTATTTACGTCTACTACAGCTCCTACAACGGCCTCAGTGTCGAAACGACAAGTGATGCGATCGTTGGGATTGAAGCATGGTCCCGTGATGTTCACTACAGTTCCACCAAGCATGTTACCACTCTCCGGTGCGAACATTAACGGCAAGTGAGCACCATCTGTTAAAAAGTATTGCTATATATATTGTATTACGATATTTTTTCATGTATAATCTTACAAATAAAATGTAAGCCTACCGATATCCTTATTGCAAGTCCCCATAAGTATGTTCTCATCAATTCGGAAAATGTGTCGACCTGGGAACCCATTAGCCCAACCTCTGCCAGTAAGATCTCTTAGGACCGACTCTTGAGAATAAGGTTTGTATTCGTAGCTTCGAGTTCCATTTCCAGCATTGAATCCAATCTGAAAAAGTATATCAGTAACTTTATACAAATAAAAATCTTTTAATGTGATTGACAGATCCATTTAGTATCTAAATAAATCTTTGGTTTCATTAAAATTTTAGTGTATTTTTTTGTAAATGATAATTAAACCATCAAGAGTTTACTACTGTCTGGAAAAATAATGTCGTTGCAAAGTTGGCACCATAACACATAAGCGAATAAGAAGATTAGTTAACTTACATAGGCTGGCACACCACCCTCGCCAGTAGTGGTATCCCCACCAGCTTCAGTGTGCGAAATCCAATTGACTTCAAGGTAATTGAAGATGGCGTAAGTGAAGACTTCATCTGTAGCCAACACCATTTGGAACGTGTTTGTCTAAAAATATAAATGAAACGTAATAAATATCTTAATAATGTATTCATAAGTATTGAGTAGCTCGGTGGCGTAGTGGATAAGCGCCGCGGCCCGCGATCGTAGTCGTTAAGCAACTTTCGCAAGGGTCGGTCACGGGATGGATGACCAAAAAATTATTATCTCGAGCTACTCCGTGCTTCGGAAGGCACGTTAAGCCGTTGGTCCCGGCTGCATTTGCAGTCGTCAATACCCTCCAATCCGCATTGGGCCAGCGTGGAGGGTCATGGCCCATCCTCCTTAACCATTCATATGGAAGGCCTGAGCCTCTGCAGTGGGGACGTGATGTATTCATAAGAAATTTACGAAATAAAATAATTAATCTTTTTCAGATATTTTATTCTGCGACTCTGTATTCATGATATTTTATGATACTAACACCTAGTTAAGGCTCATAAAGTTCTATGATCAACTTTCGTTACACAGCTTATAACAAAAGAGCCGTTTGTCATAAATGAAACTTACCACAAACAAGGAGTTATCAATACCACCAGCGAAAGACATGTTCTTCCAAGTTATTGTTATGGCATGCTTAGGGAAGAAATTCTCAGAACCAATGACTCCCTCGCGAATATCCCATGTCACTCGTTCACGCATTTCAACGCCCAATTGATCTTTTCGAAACTAAAAAGTAAGACAATAGGATTGAGTATGAGAATAGTCGTTTTCCTAATATTGTTTTAAGTAAAAATATGATGTGGAGGAGTCGAGTAAGAAATATTGTTATTTTCAGCCATGATTTTTGTATTTTGAAAATATTCAGTTTAAATGCCGACCTGTAAATCTCTGTCTAGCCTAAAGTAGACACCAGCTCTTCTTTGGTCTATATCATCAGGTCGAATGTTTCCAATGCGACATTTGCTAAAGAAGATGCCGATGAAGGAAGGATCATTTACGTTCGGCCAGTCCCTAGTCGGGAAAGTGAGAGGATACGTGTAGTGGTCTGGAGGGTCACTGAAGTAAATGTACCCATTCATTGAAAGCTGAAAACAGTAATTCACATTAGTTTAAAATTTCTATAATGCAGTGTGGATTTCAAGGACATAGTGGTTCCAAAGGTTAAGCAACTTTAGCAAAGGCTGATATTATGGTATGGTAGTGTAACTTTCAATGTCTGCATTTACAGACGTTAAAACTATGCACTCTTCATTATTCCTATGTGATTCTATGGCCTGTTCCACAGTGTCAATAAGCTGATAGCAATTATGAAAATTTCTGGATTTTATCTAGGATTAATATTCCTCATTGTAAACTTACATGCTATTATTAACTTACCCTAGTGTAATTAAATCTAAATCCGAAGAATGGCAACTGGAAGTTGAAATTCTTATGGATTTGCGGTGTGGAGGTGTGAATGTCTCTCTGGTAGTCGCCAATGTTCTCATCACCTCCCAAGTCGTAGAACCAGTACAGGAAGTTAGATCTGATCTGCGTGAGCCGTTGATTAGTGATAACGTACGGTTGGCCCTTATTCTGATAGGTGATAGAAGGAAGTACCCGGCCGTCGATGTGTGCTGGAAGTTAATTAAAGTATTAATTCATCACTATTTATGTTATTATTACTTTTAACAAATATACGACATAAGACCTCAAAAACATTTTTGCCTCACACACACAGTTTATCTTCGTATCACATTAAAAATGTCATCATTTTTGTATGAAATTGTATTTAGGCTGTTTAGGTAAATTCGCTTCAGGTAAAACAGCCCCGAACTCGACGTCTTATTACTAATTAAAACTTTTATCTTCTTTTCAAGTAGAATGTATATGATTGGACCTCTATGCTGTGACGGCGCTGAGCTCGACATCAAGTTTAAAGCTGATTTTATTATAGAGTAGTAAAGCTGAATATTGTTGAAAATTCGTTCACTATAGAAAAAGCAACAAAATTCAATATTGGGCAGATTAATTATTACAGATCCGAATACCGTCTCGAGAACCTGAGACGACTGAATTTTATTTCAATAGGAAATACCATCAATACCATTTTAAGCATTTTACTTAAAACAATATCAGTATATCATTGTGAAAACAAAATTGATCAAATATAATAAGTATAATATCAAATAATACAATTTTATGCATATGTTGTACTGTAACATATCATAGATTAATAAGTTCCAGTGAAATCAATTTCACCATATTATTTAAACAAAAGTATTATAAAGCTGAAGTATTATTTGGTGCAATGTATGGGTTCGATTCGTGATATGATATCGTTATCTTTCTCATATCGGACAGCTCAGTTAATTCCTAGTAAAGGTGATGTCAGTGGTAAACATATTGTAGCCTGTTTGTCAAGTATTTTAATAAAGTTAGAACGTCACTTATTAGTTATACTTTTAAATTTGTTTTGCTCTCTGACTGATTGAAGGCATGCAACGTATGATTTAGGATCATTGTATACTGACATTCGTCGAAAATTCGTCGAAAATGCATACACTGTGTTACTGACCTTCCATCAGTAAGACAAATTTCACAATTTATTGGTATTACACAAGTCTCTACAGAGACTTTGGTAGAACTTCTGCCTACGCCTTTGTGTTCGCTTTAACCAACTTTCGATTGATTTTGTACAAAAAATATAACTTCTTAATTAGATGTGAATAAAAAAATCTATACCTTACATGTGAGGGCAATGAAAGTGTGCGACACTTTCATGGATAGTTGTTTTATTAATGTTAAAATTTTTCACTTTATAAATGATACAAAGATCGTTATAGTTTTTGTTATGGTTTTTGACACAATTAATTTATTATCTTTTCTATTTATCTCATGTGAAATAAGTTATTGGAACAAAGGATATTTTCATTGTCATATTGATATCAATTAACAAGCCCATTGCTGTAAGTTTAATTATTGCCATAATGTGTTAAAAAAATCCGTGGATTGCAGTAATGGTGAAATATTTATGTTTGAATATCCATATAACTCGACACGGGTGTTGTAATTAGTCGACATGTACTTGCGTTAAGGTGCGGCCCTTATCACTGATAACGCTTTGATATCAGAAAAGTAGCAAAATTATAACCTCATTTATATGAACGATTTAGTCTTTAGTTTGTGTTATTTTTTATATAATCATCCTCACCGGTCTATCATTGGCCCTACTACTGGGGAACAGACCTTTATGGATGGAACAAGAATGAAATCGAATAAGGAGAAGAAGCCTTTAACTATCACGCCAAGTTGTATATTTCTTTACGATATACGTATACCTATCTAAAATTAAGTAACTAGTAACTTTTTTACTTCATTCACTTAAGTAACTTAATTAGTTAAGTAACTATTAAAGGGAATGAATTAAGCAAGTTGCCTATATTATTATCCGCCCTACAATCTAGATATGACATGGCCGTGGCAGAACACACACTCCAATTTATATATTGGTATGCATTTCAAGGGTTCAAAAAAGTGTAGAGTATAACTTAGAAAGTATTCCATTAAAAATGAAGGTACTATTGAATATTTGGTTACTTAAATATTTTTTGGTGAATTTTGCTATAACGATATTAATCTAGAGATATATTAGATGCAACAAATTTGTTCTATTTAATATCCTGAAACAATTGTTTCAGGAGACAGGATGGATATAAAGAGGATTCTCCTAAATTGACGGGTTAGGACTGCTGGAAATGCACAGTTGCGCATCTCTAGTCTTTATTCTGGCATAGCCTGACAGTTTGCGATATGACTCAAATGTGTCTGAGTCATTACTCCCAATCCTTAGGGATCCTGTAAGGGGTTACCCGAAAAGGAGGCGATCTATGCGGTTCTCGTTGCTTCGCCTTCATGTAAAGGTTTTAGTGTGTATGCCTAACGTGACCAGACGTCCCGTTTTGAACGGGACTGTCCCGTTTTCCAATTACGGGTCCCGGTGTCCCCGAAATGGACTGTGGGACGCAAAATTGTCCCGCTTTCAGAAACCGCGCGATAATTTGAGTAGCAAACGGCCGGCCACCGCCCTGCCCGCCGCCGCCGTCGCGATGTGACGCCCTGACCAACCGAACGCAAGCTAACGGTGTGCGAGAGCGAGACCGCGTCGTCGTCAACGCTCGACACAACGTCATATCGCTCGTGTTTTGTTGCCTTATTGACTATTTTTGACAAACTATTTTTCTACTTCTCGCTATTTGTCTTGTGATTGATTGATGCTCATATAGAATATAAATTTGTCCTTTTCTTTAGAATCACAGTTAAAATGCCGAAACGCAAGTGTTCGTTCAATGTTAGCTTACAAGAAAAATATCCGTTTATCAAGCAAATAAATACGCCATCAGATGTCAGATGTGAAAAGTGTCGTACAGAATTTAGTATTTCCCACAGTGGTGGTGGTGATATTGAACAGCATATAAAATCTGACAAACATAAAAATGCCGATCGTGCCGCCGCTTCGAGTTCTTCGATGTTAAACTTTTTCAAGAAATCGGACACGCTAACTTTAAAAGACTTGGATATCGCCGCGGCAGAAGGCGTCTGGGCTTATCACACGATACAAGAAAACCACAGTTTTCGTTCTAATGATTGTGCATCGAAATTGATTCAATCATGTTTTGATCCCAAATTTACACGCGCGCGTACGAAATCAGAAGCTATTGTAGTAAATGTTTATATTAAAACAAATTTGTTCTTCAGAGAAATATAAACATAAATAAACATTTTGGGTACCTTTCTGAATCGTAACTCTCTCTTAAGGCAACTAACATTTTCTGAATAAATAACTTTAAAAAAGTGTTGTTTGTTTCATTGACTACTTTTGATTTGACATAAATAAACCAATGTCCCGTTTTGAGTCAAAAAATAAATGGTCACGTTATGTATGCCCCTTCTATTTGACTAGCCCTATTCGGAGGTGAGTTTGCATAGGAGTGTTCCACATAAAATAACCTACCGACTCCGCGCTAGTGGGGCGTTTATGCGCAACGCAGCCTCCTAGCGTCAAAAAAAGGTGCCAGGATAGATGAGTTACTGGAGCTCTGTTAGAAGAGTACTCGAGCATTGGACCTTTGTAGCAAATGTCTGTTTCGATTCCACGGCTGGTACGTTTCGCCAATCTTTTTTTGTTATTGACCTAATACGTACTTAATCCAATAATTTATTATCATACAAATATGAACCATACAATTAAGTGATGATTAGAATTACACAAGTTACAGAAATTAATCAAAATACATTACTGTTATCTTGGAAACGCAACAGAAGCAGTCAATAATTTTGTCAACTGTGTCTATAATATATAGAAGCTATAAATTAACTTGTATATATTAATATACATACAATATATTACTGCAAAATATCATACCATCTTATACAATTTAGAACTCTTAATTCCAACGTAATATATTAAACATTTGACGTGATGTTAACTGTATAAATAGTATTTAATATAGTAATAATCTTGAAATAACACTGGTATCTTCACAATAAATAAACGATAATATATAGCAGACAGTAAGTCTGAGTATATATTTGTATTTATTTTAACATAGAATAATATGTTTATAGTTTGGCCACTGGTTCATCTTCATCAGCCTTTTCACGTCCCCACTGCAGGGGCTCAGGCCTTCCTTATGGCCGGTTAAGGAGGGTGGGCTCCACGCTGGCCCAATGCGGATTGGAGGGTATTAACGACTGCAAGTTCAGCCGGGACCAACGGCTTAATGTGCCTTCCGAAGCACGGAGTATCTCGAAATAATAATTTCTTGGTCACCCAACCCGTGACCGACCCTTGCGAAAGTTGCTTAACGACAACGAGCGCGGGCCGCGGCGCTTGTCCACTATGCCACCGAGCTACTATGTAATTTATACTATTGTTGTTATACTTTAAAAATGTAAACTAGGAGAGAATTTTGGTCGCATGTGGATTGCCGGTGCCGCGTTTTTTGACAACTAAATGACGTCCTGAACAAGTGGTAGGGGGAAAAAATTTATTTGGACGATTCAAAAGTGCTTGTAACAAGCTTACTTGAATAAAAATATTTTCATTTTATTTCATTTCGTGTCTTCACTTAAGTATCACTTGAAGCTAAGCTAGTAAATCGCATCAAAGTGGGCATACTTAACACTCCAGGAGACAAATGGCAATTTTACAGCAGGTACATAGCAGTGATGAGTCGAATATTTGCATTCGCATATTCTTTAATATTAGCATTCGCATTTGCAAAATTTGTGTGTCTTTTATATAAATATATATAAAAAAAATTAAGTGAATAAGATTAGAAATTAACTAATTTCGTATCTTTTAATAATAGAAAAATTCAGATTAATACCAAAGTTTCAAGTCACCACTGCAGGAGACCTGGCCTTCTTTATGGATGGTTAAGGAGGATGGGCTATGACCATCCACGCTGGCTCAATGCGGATCGGAGGGTTTAACGACTGCAAATGCAGCCGGGATCAACGACTTATAGTGACTGTCGAAGCAGGGAAATAATATTTTTTTGGTCAAAAATTCCTTGACCGACCCTTGCGTAAGTTGCTTAACAACAACGATCGCGGACCGCGGCGCTTATACACTACGCCATACTCAACTATGATAAAAAAACTTGTGTAAAAATCATCAGAACAAATGCTTCGTTCATTCAGACACATGGAAAAATATTGCACGAAAGAATGACAAAACTTATATACCCTCAGTGCGCAAGTGGAACGATATAGAAGTCGGGAAAGGCCAAGATCGCGTGATGTTAGCTGTCATAAAAATTGGCGTGCATAATGAAAACAGTATTGAAAGAGGAGGAAGTGAAGAGTGTGTCTAAGGACTACCTTAAATACTAAGTTAAGGTAGTCCTTAGACACATTCTTTCTGGTGCTAAATCCTCTCTGCTTACCCGCCAATAGATACGAGGTGAAGATATAGATACTATTTATAAAACAAAAAACATGTAACGTAAGTAAATAGAAATAAATTATTCTGAGAAACTTATATCACTATTTGCATAAATTTTTACTGTTGGATAATGATCTTCTTGTACGAAACAAAAATAATAGTTATAGACGATTCGTAACTTAAAAAATACACTGAATATTCGCATACGCATTCGCAATCGCAATCGTGTTCATACAAATTGTTAGTGGACATTCATATTCCCATTCGCATTCTTATATATCACAAATAGGTACATAGTATTCTCCGGATATACGATACGCTTAATGTAATCGATGACTTAGATACAGCTCAATACCCTCTAAAATATTTTTATGGCAATGAATGTAAAACATAATTAAGTTACACCTGAAACGATTTGTTATGAGATATCAAGAAATGAATGAACTAAGTACAATAGTTTTATGTGTAAATGATGACACACTTACGGGACTCTGACTCAGTGTGTGCAGAGTAAGTATCTTGTAATGTATGTGCACAGTGATTAACATCTTAGCTAGATTACCTGTTATATCAACATTCCATTTATTTATTTGCACTAAATATCATAGTTAACTTATTTATATAGATTTTTAGATATTTGAGTTGTTGTAAATATAAATTTTAATATGTTGACATGTTATGGTAAAATTTATGTGATTATTTTGGTAAAATTTTAAGTAAGAAGAACTCTTTCTGCGCTAAGACTATGAGTCTGATATGTGTCGTTCAACAGCACATATGAGTTATGCCAGCTTGTTAAAATAGCCTCGAACTCGACATCGAGAAGAGCATTGTAGCAGCATAGAGCTTCAATAAAAATACCTTTATTACATTTTGTAGTAAGTATTTTGGTTTTATTTGATGGAACTTCTATGGTATGATTGTGCTGTGCTTGGTGTTGAGTGCGAGGCTAGACTGATGTAGGAATGTCGAGATATAGAAGGTTGAAACGTATGAGGAAATATTGAGTGCTTCTAAATTTTTTGGGTTCAGCATACACATTGTATTTTATATTGTTATGATACGATCTATTACTGTAATGAATGATTTATGTAAATGTCATTACTTATGATCAAGAGCTGGTAAATTTCTTTCGCTTGTTCTTGTTGTCACCTAAAAGACGCCCTGAACGAGTGGTAATGGGGGGGGGGGGGGGGGTGTAGTAAAAAATTTTTGGACGATTCAAAAATGCTTAAAACAAGCTTACTTGAATGAACCCATTTTCATTTCATTTCACACAGAGGCTGTATTAATCGAAATGGCTACATAATGAGTTTTATATTACTAGACTAGAATATTGTAAACCGGTCAAATGACTCAAAAATACAGATAAAAGCTTGATGAGTCAAACTAATAATGTAATGACAAAAACCTTTATCAATTTTCGACAAAATGGCGCCCATCATATCCGCCATTGTTTGTCGGTGACGTCATAATTTAATATTATTAGCTAAATTGGTTTTATGTGAAACAATGCTAGGTCTATGACATATTTTATTTGTAACTAAATTTATAATTTAAGAAAGGAATGTGACATACCATATTCGTTGGTCACATCTGTAGGGTACGGGTATTCCAACTGCCTCTCACTTTGTTCCCCTGTTGCTGCTGGATTCAGGTCCACAGCTTCCAGCTCAGTAGGCTGCTCACCAACCAAAGCATCATCAAGCACTTGATACTTTCCATTCCTGACATGTAGTTGTTGCGTTTCTGATATCACTTCCACGGGCTTCTCCTCTTCTTCATTAATAATTTTATCTTCTTCCGGTGCAGCTTCTACATTTTCCTGAGGAACTTCTGCATTTGGTACTGGAATCAGAATATCTTCTTGCGGGCTATCAGTTATGGCTTGCTCAATTTCACTGGTTACTTCATCTTGTCCTAATACACTTGCACATATAACTAGGACTGCTACTAATACTAATTTAATTTTAACACCCATTGTCTATTGTTTTTAATTTTCAATCATATTTTATCAGTTCTTCTGTAACAACAGGTGGTTCGCAATTGTGTCGGTGGACTGGTGTGAGGTGAATTGTGTGCTCTATGATATGGCTTTATCAACCGGAGATATGATAAGATAGTAAATAGGCACGATAGGTGCGCCAAATTCTTTGTCCTAAACCACGTCGTCCTTTATAAGGGTTTTATTATTATTACGTTTTTGTACATTATGTGTCGAATCTATAGTCGAGAGAAGTAATTACTTAAGAATATCTTATAATTTAAACAGATAATAATACCAAATAATCAAGAATTTGCATGAAGTAAGAACTGTTAATAATTAGAATATTATTATTATTAGCTACTGACTCTTTTGACTTCATTCAAATTATCGTCTATTGGTTAAAAATATATGCTTAAGATTAGACATTTTCTCAAGTATTAACTTCTCTCGACTATAGATACGAGTGTATATGAAGTATATTTAAAATTAAATCTTTGTCACTGCATTAATATTTGGTAAAACATTCAAAGATATTAATGCATAAAATAAAATGATAGTTACACAAATGAAATTTTCACAGATAAAGTATTATATTTCTGTCGCTATAATAACACATATTAAAAACAGAAAAGAAATAAAAATTTATGCATTTTTCATAAATTATTGTATAACACATTGAACCCTTTGTACGCGAGTCCAACTCGCACTTAATTAGTTTTTATAATATTAGGATAGACACATTATTATCATCATGTAACTGCAACTAACCGTGGAAACCTTTTATTGGCCATCTGTAACTCAATTTGATGTCTACATATAAAAATCATGAGTTGTTGGTATTCCCGAATATATATAAATAAATAAATCATCACCGGTCTATTAATATCCTCACAGCTGGGGCTCAATACTTCCCTATGGATGGAATCGTATAAGGCGAAATTGCGATGACCCACCTGGGTCCCACATGACCCACGAGGGTCCTTTGCGGATTGGTTCAACAAGTTTTTGGTCACCCGTCTTATGACTGGCCATTGTGAAAGTTCTTATTGAGCGCGCTACCACTGCGCCATCGAGCTTGTATAGATACATATAAAATATGAAAGTAATATATGGACATGGTTTTTTTTGTTCAATATGAGATCAAATACACTAAAAGCCCATGTCCCTATTTATGTCCTGGGGCACAGGCACGAGTCTTTCCTATTAATAGAATTGAACCAATTCGAGTAGAAGTAATATCTACCTTCTTAAAGAGTGTTATAATACAGTATCATTTAAAAAGTATTCCAAATAAACATACATTCAGGTTTATCACAATTTATTACTTAAAATAACCGGTAAACAAGTTCTTATCACAGTGGTAGATATCTACTCCAGCCTTGTTTTCCATCAAGAACTTCGATAAATTTAATACTCAGAAATTTTAAATGAATCATTTATTCGATATTTTGATCTATCACGTAAGTAGGTACTTCCTATTCGGAAGTGAAATTAGTCAGGTGGAAATTGCGAAAATGATTAGTAATGCTAGGAAATATAATTAATGTCTGTACAAGGGGCTAATTGTGTAACTTTAAAAAGATTTTGCAATCTCTTTCGATTTTGAAAGAAATTCACGGACTCCACTCTATTACGATTGTTGATGTTTGCGAAATTTTTAAAAATGAAATTGAAAGAACGTTATATTGTTACTAAATGTTAATTTGACGTCAATTGAAATTGTATAAAGTAAATATAAGACGCAAACTTCTTTGAAAGCTGTTGAGAAATGTTAAAAGAAAAATTTTGAATGCTTACTGAAACCTTATGAAGGGTTTATAACTAAGTTTTATATTGTTTCTTGATCGTTCAAGTCGTCTTTTGTTCCAAAACCTATTGCGAGTTCAAAATTTATGTAATTCCATAAACTGATATCACAATAGCCATAGCTTTGGAAGGGATTGTCATAGAATTTGAAATTAATTAATTACCTCACACAGTAGAAATAGGAATTTTGTAAGAGTATTTATTCTTTGGACGATGTTGGTGACTCAACCATTAAAGTCTCGAATAAATAATTATCAAGAAGTTTCAACAGAGTCACTGTCCGCAGACTGGTTAGTACTAGTCTACAATTGGATAGACCAATTCTGATTGGTCGATTACAGATAATTTAACAATCCTATTGGAGAGATTAATTGGAACTTTATTTACACGGTAGAGTCAATCACAAACAAAGTCACATTGTATGTTTATTTAGCTAGATTTACCCACTATTTTGAAGGCCTCCTTTTCTCTCTACATCAATAATGAAGACTAATAGAAATACCAATATTTGTTAGACTTAAAATTTTTATGTAAATAATATAACAAATATATTAATAGATAGACAGGTGACACTATAGAAAAACAAAAACAATTAAACATAGGTGGTAATAAGTCATCTAGCAGTCTAGTAGAAAAATCGTTATAAAAAGCTTTATATATTGTTTTGTGATTTATTTATTGTCCTCACAAAATTCTATACATTTAATTACGGCGTTTATAATTCTTAGGCTTATTTGATCTAAGACACCTAAATGAAATATTTAAATGGGATGATCTTATAAAAAAACAACCTATTATCTTCAATAAACCATATGTAGGTAAAAATCTTAAATAACCTATTTTGTTCTTCATGTATTCACTTCACTCAAATATATATTCAGTTTCGTATTTATAAGCTTACAAAATTACGATTTCCGAACTTTACAAACACAATTTATTATATTTTACATATACAACACTCGAACAATTTAAAATTATCAAAGGGGTATAAATTCAAATAGGTACCGATGAACACATATGTAGCTCGGAGTCCAATGTTTAAAATATGTAAAGTAAATGTTCATATAAAGTTAAGCATAGGTCACACCGGCTATGAATTTACTATAATTATTACTGTCTCTATAAATGTTAATTTTCAAAGCCTGAAATATATGGTTTAATACGTCGGATGTTTCCGCCACAGGTCTTTTTCGTCTTTTACCGTATTTACTTTACAAATTTTAAGTTATCGATCAAAATTATTTGAGGTGATTTTCAAAAACATCCGACCCCATGTATGTAATACGTAAACGTACGTTTTTTTTAATATACGCTGCTCCAAAGAATTCAATGAAAAACCACATCTTTAAATTACCATTACATTGTATTATTATTAATGTTGTTGAATAATACATTGACAATAGGTATTGACTAAATTTAAAAGACAGAAAGAGTCTTAAAAATGTCTCATACATATTTAGGAAAAATAAGAAAAAAGAAAGACCCATTTTTCAATGTAATGTTAAGTGTTATACTCAACCTATAAATATTTTTCTTGATTCATCCTAAACGTGTTCTAGTAAAAAACGATTATATTTTTATTCAGATTGTATACAGGAATCTTATTTTTTTAGGTGATTAAAAAAAAGGATGAGCTAAGAATACTAATGGTATGATTACGGAATTTAAAATGAATTAAATTGTTGCGGGCTGGGAAGGAACATAAATATTATGAGTAAAACGTCATAGGACGAATACAGAACAACCCCTATTTTATGCACAATAAAGAACCTATACTTATTTACTACTCGTATTATCGACAAGCTCAGTTACAAACTTTGTTACTACTTATGTCATTGTGAGTGAGTGCTTAAGGTTATCTGTTGATCATGTTTAAATAATGTTATACGTATGTTTGTCAGTACGTGTGCCAATTTCGATAGTCAAATCGTCAAGAAATTATTATTTATTTATCTCTATTTGTAATAAGGATGTTTCGAAACGATTCCGCTGTCGATACGAATGAAATATAGAATAATAAAAACGTGGCGATGTATTGGTATCGATATCGGAAACGTCTCTAATCCATACTTACTAATATTATAAATGCGAAAGTAACTCTGTCTGTCTGTTACTTAATCACGCCTAAACCACTGAACCAATTTGCATGATTTGGCATACAGGTAGATGTTATGACGTAGGCATCCGCCAAGAAAGGATTTGATCAATTCTTTCCCCAAGGGGATAAAATAGGGGATGAAATTTTGTATGAAACTTTGTCAATTTTAAACCGATCGGGCTGAGACTTTGCATGAATAAAGCTAATATGACGTAAGCATCCCCTAAGAAAGGATTTTGATAAATTCCACCCCTAAAGGAATTAGCTAAGAAGATAAGACTTTTTTTTCAGGTATTTTACACGATATAATGAATAAATATTTGTTAGAAATGCTGCTCAAAGTAACTTTACCACGCGGACGAAGTCGCGAGCAAAAGCTAGTTTACCTATATATCTCATTTCAATGGCAATTATTTGAAATTTGGTAGGAGTTAATATTACTCCCGTAGAACTCCAGCCTAAATTTGCCTCCAAACCGAGTTTCGGGTAAATAATTCTGCATATTTTCATATAAGGAAACATAAATATTACTTAACATAAAAAGCTTCAAAAGTATAATGATTAATTAAAACACAGAAATAAACACAAAAACTTTTATGTGCGTGGACAATGCCTATCTTCCAGTGGCGTTAACCGCGTGAAGCACTTTTGAATTCCTTTTCAATCATTATGTGTATCTGATTAAATCCTTTTGTGTAGCATAGCATAAGACTCTAGCCATAGCAATGTTATGACGATATTTCGGTTCATTTTATTACTTTGAGATATAATTTAATAAGGACAAGCAAATGAATGTTAAATAGTGATTTTTATGGATTCAACGGCAGTGTTACCAACTGAATCAATAATACCAAATTTATCCAAAAAGACATGTTAAATGGGAAAAAAATAAAATATCGCCATAACATCGCTAAAATGTCGTATCACATGACTAAAGGTTAGGAGGTCTCACTTTTGCTGATTTGTAAGAAATTTTGTCAACTTTTCTTTAAATTGCATTTTACTGCTGAAGTTATTAAATTTTTCGTTGTTATGTTTGTTTTTGGCTCCTCTTGGAATATCTCCAGATATGTGAATATTGATAACCTCCTTTAAAGTCAATAAATAAACTAATAATAACAAAAGGTTTATTATCCTTCCTTATGAAATAATCAATAGAAAGCCCGATAATAGTACTTTATATCAAGTAGTGTTTATGAAGCTATAGATGGAAAATTTAAACAACCTACAATTAGTTATCATATATCATTGACAGATAGCTCTTTGTTAAGATGATTTGTTACGATTAAACTATTAATAATGTCATTGAATGACGTTATTTTTCAAGTTGAACTTAATTATAGCACGTGATTATAGCTATAGCTTTGCTTGATTACTTTCTATATTTCAAAAATTTTTTAACTGGGGGCATTGTGAAACATCAACATCCTCGCCAACATCATAAACAAATCTTCGGTTCCATGAGTTTTAGCTTCATAGAAAAATTAATTTACTGTTCGAATGTTGATAACTATTCGAGTCGACCATTCACACAAGCTTACACTCGCAAATAAGTGCACAACTGACTGATGTCCGGCACGGGTTCCGCCCAGCAAGGAGCACCGCTAGTAATCTTATTATTTATATGGCTGATCTCATACCTACAGTGGATAGAGGATTACAAGTTGACGTTGTATACTTTGATTTTAAAAAAAGCTTTTGACTTAGTTCATAACGACGTGTTACTTCTAAAGTTAGCGAGCGTCGGCTTCACACCACACCTGCTAAATTTTTTTGCGAGCTATATGAGAGACAGGTAGCAATATGTGGATTATGCGGAATATCGGTCAGATCCTTATTACACAAGATCCGGAGTAAATCAGGGCAGCAATCTCGGCCCGCTGGAGTTCATATTGATGATAAATGACCTTCCGACTGTAGAAAAATATGCGAAATGCATATTGTTTGCAGATAACCTAAAGGTATATCTTCCTATTAATGATCTAGAAGACTGTAAGAAGTTACAAACAGATATAGACAGTATAGTAGCGTGGAGCTTGAAAAACAAATTACAATTCAATACCTCGAAATGCGTCGCGATGACTTTTTCGAGAGCTGCATACTTATAAGGTCAACGGGGAAGATATGACAAGAGTGACCGAGATTAAAGATTTAGGGGTCCATTTTACATCGGGACTCTACTTTAAAGATCATTTTAATAGCATATGTAGGAAAGCTTATCATCGTAACTTGGGGTTGGTTTTACGTTTCGCACGAGGTTTTACAAACATGAAAGCAGTCATTTCGTTATATAACGCCTTGGTTAGGAGTCAGCTTGAGCACAAAGCAATAGTATGGGCACCTTATGAAAAGAAATATACTCTCATGTTAGAACGAGTCCAAAATAAATTTGCTAGGTATTTATACATGAAGTTATATGGCGTATATCCGTTTTATCCTTTAAACTACCCTACTTTGTTTGTGTTAGGAATGACAGGATATAACGAACTCACGGTTAGGAGGAATGTCGCATTAGTATCATATATTTAAAATACTCAGAGGGAAGATACATAACGCGGATATACTTTGTTGGGTATGCTCAGGGTACCAGACCGGTATATATGGCGCAGGAGGCAGGTGCCACTTCTGATGGTTCCATCCGCACGCACAAACTTGTTAAAGGAGGCACCGTTCACACGCGCTATATCTATCATTAATATGATAGCTAATGAAATTGACATATTTGATTGTGCTCTGAGTGAGTTTACAAAAACTGCAATATTTTTTGTACATATAAAATTAATTAAGAACAATATATATTATATAATATATATTATATAAATATATAAAAAAGTAAGGTCTTCAGTTAAGATAAGAAAAATTGTTAAGGTTTACTAGATCGCATTGGCTATAAGCTGTAATGATCGATGTAAATGTTGTTGATAATAAATAACTCTATGGGTAATACCTATAGAAAGGTACTTCTGTGTTAACTTTTGTTACCATTTTTAGTTTGCTGGAAGCCGATGGATGGGGGACGATTGTCTGACTCTCTAACCATTAGTGTAGAAATAGGATAATACATCTAATGACGTGTACTTTAGTTACGACGATCGAACGATAAAGAATGGTAATTATGGATTTCATAAATGTGTTACCAACTTAATTTAAATGTAGATATATCAAAATAGTAGCATGAAACCAAATATCTTCATAACATCGCTAATATGTCCTATCCTATGGCTAGAATTAAGGCTATAGAGGTAGGTGGTCGGTCTGTTGCGCTGCCCGCATGCAGCAACTTTGCTTTATCATTACATAGGATATAAAACAAAGTAGCTTTCTCTGTGAAAATTTATACACATAGTATATCCCTATGTATGTGTATTTATACACTTTATACACATACATAGGGATGTATGCTTAAATCTTTAAAACTACGCAATGGATTTTGATGCGGTTTTTTTTCATAGATAGAGTGATTCAAAAGGAAGTTTTTTATGTATAATACAAGACCACGCCGTCGAAGCCACTGGCGAAATTGATAAATATAGCATAGTCGCTGTATGCGTGTAACGGGCCTTATAATTTCGCTATGTCCGTCTGTCCGCCCGTCCGTGGTTTGACTCAAAAGCTATTGGTAGTTGAAAGTTGTAATTTGCCATGAATATACATATTAAATGCGCCAACTAAGTGTTGAAGTAGAATTTGGAAAAAAAGCATTTTTTTTAAGGTCCCTCCCCAACATGTAATGTTGGGAAAAGACTTTTAAAAACATTGAGGGATCTGAGAAGACTATTTTTCATTTTAGTAAACCGTTCTTGCTTTATTAAGCTTTAAAGAGCCAATTTTCGTTAGAGTCAATTGTCCCCCCCTCTACCAATTAAGGTAAAAATTCAAACGTAACGGCACTACAACTATATATAACGATGTTAAAAGGAAAGCTTTCTCACTTAAGTTAGCTTTACAGTTTATGTATAACAGTCCATCAAGTATATTTAACTCGAAACATTCGAACAACTCCATAGAAAACAACGAACGTGATTGTTTTTTATGGATAATGAATGATACGGAACCCTAGGTGCACGAAAACGACTCATACTTGGTCGGCTTTTTATGTCTGTAACCAATGAGTTTATGAAAGTATTTTATATATTAAATGGGATAAATTGATTTACTTTGTATTGTATTTGAAAATTTTTTTTAAAAAAAACAAGCTTTGTGTGTTTTCTATATTATCTTAGACAATTAAAAAAAAAACAAACTTGTCACAGTTGAGTTTCTTATTTACAAAGTTCCTACGGGCAACTTCCACTTCGATTATCAGAATGTAACAGTGCGTCGTACCATGCCGTTTATTTTGTCCTAGGTTTCTGCATCCAAGCTCTTTGTCTTTGATCTTTCACATCATTTACTTTAAATTATTCATTTTTCATAATTGGAAATTTTGAGTAACGCGATATGCTTCATATGCTCTTTCTGAATGTTAATTCTTAAAAAGGTTCTTACGGCAACAACACGACCATCATTAAAAATTAATTAATAAAGAAATGTTTTTATTTTTATTTAAAATCTATGCTGAGATTTACGAATTGTATTTATGTAGTGCATGTGTATAAATTTTCATAGTATCTTCTAGATAATCCAAGAAAGGGTTTTTATTTAACTTATCAAGCCTATTCAGCCGTTTCTTTTTCCAACCAACAACTAGCACCGAACCCCTCACAAGACTTTGGATATTATCGCGGGCCAAAATATTTTTAAAACGCAGTAGATCAAATTTAGTTTTATTAGATTTGACCTACACTAATAAACTATCAAGACAAGTTAATTAGATTACTTGTAATGTTTTCAAATATTATCACAACTTTAACTGTTAAACTAAAATATCAGGTACACTAGAACGCATGGAATAATCTAGCAAGAAACAAACATAATGTTTACCTAATATAATATATGTAACGATCTAGAAAACTATTCGGAATAAAACACAATAATACCTTAAGAGTGCTCATAGAACTAACTTATGAGATCTATTAATAAAAGATGATAATAGAAACGGACATTAATATGGCCTTGATTTATTTTGAGCAATACGAAATAAATCAATAAAAATGTTTAACTCTAAAACCATTTCGTTTTTAATTTGACTCGCTTAATAGTTATGCGAAAATTTTTTTTACAAAACGTTGAATTTTTGGAATTCGTGTTTTGTTCACAATAAATTTTGGTATCATTTATTTGATTTAATCGTCCACTTAATCGAATCTAGAAAGACCTCTAAAAAGTATCCTTTGTTGCGGTTGATTAATAAAACAAAACGATTTATCAACACAAGTGTGTCCAATCAATTTATCATCGTAAACCCACTTGTATGTGCAGTATAAATGCATGCAGGTCGACGCTCGACGCCAATGTGTCGTATACAGTACAACCGATTACAGTGTTTCTTGTGAAGTTATTCGTAAACAACTTTAAATATAACAAGATGCCTTGCGGTGGGTGTGGTGATAGTAAGTATTAGAAGATTACTGAAATTAATGTTCAAATGTACTTTTTAATATACATATATTTAATGCAATACATACTAAATTTAGAAATAATACACATTACATTTCGATTATTTTCCATGAGCGTTATATAAAATATTATATGATAAAGTTATTTCAATTTCTAAATGTATTATTTTCAGTTATGTAACTTTGAATCAATGGGAATTGGTAATTTGTATTTACCTTCATAAAATAGGTACCTATAGAAAATATTTCTTTCTAAAATAATTGCAATTGTTTACACTATTGACATCTTATTAAAATTTTTAAGAGACAATATTACTCGAACACCAAAATTATATTAAATGCGCACATAAAATTATTAAATACATATCCAAATACCTAAAATATTTAGTAATTCTTACTGAAAAATATTAATAATTACTCCTACCTTAAGAAATATATAAAACTTAATTTCAAAATTCTTTAATCTAAAAATTCTTAATATTAAAATTTAAAATAAGACACGAAAGCAACTTTATGCAGAAACTAAAAATATTATTAAAAATAAAACAAGACTTCAAAAGCTTATAAAATGTAAACTTACGTAACATATTTAGGAAACATTTATAAAACTCTAGCGTTTCATTTTAATAAATCTACAAATAAGTTTGTTTTTAAACAACTTAAAAATCGCAAAGGAGGGTGTTATAGATATGTTCGACAGAAATGTATTTTTTTTTGTGTGCTCATTGATGTGTCCTCGAATATTCAAAAATATTTTTATTAGATAGGTTAATGGCCGAGGGACCTCGGGCTCGGGAAGTTTTTTTTGGTGAAAAATCAAAAGATTGCATAATGCCATTCATTCAAAATTCGAAAGGAGGATTTTCGATGTTTAAGGAGTACGTATATTTTAATGTAAATAGGTATTTTTATCGATTACTTCTGAAATTGTGAACCAGTATCCTCGCGACTTCGCATACGTAAATTTTGGCCTAAGTCCTCCGCGTATTATGTAGGTTCCCATAGTGTAAATGAATTTTATAATCGGTCCAATATATCTTTATATCGGTCCAAAAAAGAATATCCAATGCTGACAAAAAAGCAATTAAGATTTGATTACTTCTTTATGATTTACCTCTTTATGATTTTTAGTATAGATCGTTTGGAAAATAAATAAAATCTCTTCTCCTAAGATATCAATATTATCTATATAAAAAAATATCAATATCACGAAGAAGCATGAAATTATTTTGTTAAGTAGAAGTTTGAAGTCGGTTCTATTTATAAAAAAAAAGTATTGAAAGCACTTTTGAATTGTCATTATTTGTCAGAAAATCGGACACAAGAAACTTATCAGCTCTTACATTAAGTATTATTCTGTGATAAAGTCACATTATAAAAAACTTTAACATACCATAATTAAACATAAAATAAAACAATGCATTCGAATAAGAATTAATGTCGTAGTACACGTAGATGTCAGTTGTTTTTAGTCACACACAAATTGGAAAATTTGCTTTGGTTTTTAAAACAGTTTTATATAACAATCTGCCTGTCAACATTTCGTTCTTTGTTTATACAAACGCTACGTTAAAACGGACGTGGCACATAACCTTCACGGGTATTTTGTTCGGTTTCTAGGTTTAACAGCAGTAGTTATCTAGGGTAATGTTGGTAAAGTGCGTATTATATAAGATTTATTTAAAGACCCATTCAAGTGAAATCAAAATTATTTACATTATCAAACAAAAACTTTTTTGATGGCGAAGCATTTAGCGCATCAAGCAACGCTTGCAAACACTATCATTGGACGAATGATCACATTATACCCCCATCGTTTATGGGAGAAAAGCTTGGAAATCGTCAAGGACCGCTCCAAGTTCAGCTCCCGTTCTGAGCTTACACATATATTTTTCACTTCTCTTGTTTTAAAAGATCGTCATTACATAATTAGCATGTCCTGCCCTATTTGTAAGTATATATATATATATATATATATATATATATATATTTTTGTGTCTGTGACCAAAAAGTTTAGATATCTTTATATTTACTGTTACCAAGGAGCCTACAGAAAAGGTTTGATAAGTATAATCTTGAATAAGAACATTTTGTTTTTAAAAACAGAACTAGAAACAGTGGTCGTTAAATTCTCTTTGGTTGTGTATATAGATGGAATTGTTCTCAGTTAGATTGCGCTATTGTTTGTTTGCCTTAGCTACCATAATAATAATTTGTGGTTTCCCCTGACATTTTCCTGACTTAAAATATGTCGAGAACACAGATTTTTATTATAGTTGTTATTATAAGTTTATTTAAATTGAACGAGTGCATATACCATAGTCGTCTGATGTCAATCGTGTATGATATAGCTTCCCGTAGATAAAAGAATTTTAAATTGGGTCGATTAGTTTCGGAGACCCTAATCTTTGCACTTAGTAATAGATAATAAATATGTAAATAAAAACAGTTTAATAAAGAAAGTACGTGTTTTCTCTTATAGATTGCAAATGTACAGCAACTCAGTGCTGTGATAATTGCAAGTGTGACTCTTCATGCAACTGTGACGCGAAGAAAACAACTTGCAGCGGCGGAGACAGCTGTTCAGCAACTAAAAAGTAGGAACACAGTAGCTGTGTTTCAACAATTATAGCACTATGCCTGCTTAGTCTCTGATGTAGATTCATCTTCATGCACTTTTCCCACGAAATAAAATCGACTATTTCCACGAATAATTCAGTAAAGTTATATAACGCTTATCCATACTGCTGCTATGTTTCATTCCAGTGTAAATATGTTTAACAGCAATTCCAGGGCCAGGTCAAAAATCATCAAGTATACTCAAATTATTACAACTTATCGTGATTCTTATTTTATTTTCCTATTATTATTTATAATAAATATGAACAATTATTATGTTTTGTGCAAACAACAGTTTATTTATGCACGACTAGTGAATTTATTATCTAATTTAAATATATTTATATAGTGAAATAGATACAGTGCGTGTAAAGAAAGAAATTATAACGACACCAGTCATGCTATGCTAAGTAAAAATATTTCTTTTTAGAAGTAGCATTTTAAATTTACTGGATTATTCGCCGGGGCCGAATATCTTTTTATAAAGAAACATTAACTAATGACAATAATAAAAAAAGCTCTAAGATTGTTCTAAAGTTTATATTTTTTCGTATATAGCGTATATTTCGTGTATATCTACTGTTGAATATGTGCGTAATTAAAATTTTATTTATAACTTCACCTTTAACATCAAACTAAAATCATAATAACATGTTTGTTTACTATATTTCCGTGATCCTGTGTAAATCACTTTGTAATAACAGTTTATAATTAAACATTTTTTTATTTGTAAACAGAATTGTTTACAAATGTCAGTGCAGTTATATATGATATTGAAGTATGTTCGATTTTCATTAATCATCTGTTCATTTTTGTATTACGTATATATTAACAGTTTTTAAGTCTGTATCAATGAATAAAACAATGAGAAAGTACTTTTGATTTTTATTTGTGTAAACTTTACAAAAAGGATTATATAAATAAAATAATTAAAATTTGTCACTTAAAGACACCATCGGCTTATTTCATGCAAGATCCTGTGAAGAAAAAAAGCATTGAATATATAAAAAAGTTAAATTAATGTATTGATTGACCCAACTAAGATTGCTTTCGGTGTGAATTTAACTCAGTGGGGTAGTAGATAAGTGCCGTGGTCTACGATCGTTGTAGAAAAACAACTTTTGCTACGGTCATTATGAGATGGGTGACCAAACTATTATTATCTCGAGCTAAGGAAGGCATGATAAGCCATCGATCCCAGCTACATTTGTAGTCGTTATTACCCTCCAATCCGAATTGGGCCAGCGTGGAGTGTTATGGTCCATTCTCGTTAACCATCCACAAAAAACGTGAAATAGACTTATAAGTCAAAGGCTACCTTGTTTTAATATTACTATAGATTTAAATATAATATCTTTATACTAAAGACATACTATCTATGTTGAGCTGATGACAGTCGCAGCCAGGAGCACAATCGTCGTTCCACAAAGTAGCAGGTTCTGAATCTAAAAAAGAAGATTATTATTTAACTATTTCTAATAACAACGAAGCATGAACATAATATAATTAAACAATCAATGGTTTTTAGGTTCATAAAAACTTTATGATGTATTGTAAAAATTATGCAACAACAAATATAATTACAACATAATCACAACTCGGTCAGTTATCACACATATCATTAACATTTATATGAAAACACGTTCAATTTATTTAACATTCGCAATGGCCGATTGCAGGATGGCTGACCAAAAATATTCTGAATTCATCGATGCTTCAGAAGACATGTTAAGTCGTTGGTTTTACTTGCATCTGCAATAAAAAACAGCAATAATATCCGTTCTCGAATCAATTTAAACAAAATTTATTTAGTAGAAATGGGCCCTTAGCCCGCGTCGTGGGCTGTTCGGTTGTTCGTTTTATGAATGCTCCTTTTCATGAGAAAGGCTAAATGATAAAATATTTCTTTGAAGTCGCCTAAAATACATCCACCAACTATATCTAAGTATTATCGATAGCCCAACAATCGAAAAGAAAGGTAAGGAAACTTACGGATTTGTTCTCCAAAGCCAATCATGTTGAAATGGATCAGACTACGACAAAAAATAATTATGAACTACAGAAATCAATCTAAGTGTCACACTTCTGTACAACCTTTCATCTGAAAAGTGGTTTAGCAACTGAATAAGGTCGTAATAGCCAACATATAAAAACACAATACAAATAAAAGTGCAGAAAAAATCGTCATTGAAACTGCACAAACTAACGATCTGTGTCTGATGGGATACAAAGACTGCACTCTTTTTTTGTATTGTTCGATTTTATGGATGGTTAACGAGAATGGGCCATGACACTCCACGCTGGCCCAATGCGGATTGGGGGGTAATAACGACTACAAATGTAGCTGGGATCGATGGCTTATCGTGCCTTCCTTCCTTATAAAATGAATGATATTCTCTGTCATTTACACTTAAATATGTGCAGTAAATTTAAAAGTTGAATATTTATCTAATTACTGATGATTGTTTGTGCCAAAAATATAGTTTAATTTATTTAAATGTGCATTACGAATTATGAATGAAAACGTCATCTTCTGACCCGTTTGATTTAACAGCTGCGATAAAGTAATGCTATTACATTAATAAAAAGCGTCCTATAGTTTATTCAATTGCTACGTAGGTATATTTTATAGCTGTTGGTCTTCCCGAAATAAATAAATATAAATAAATGGCTAAAAAGAGGGCAAGGGCAAAAACCAGGTCTTCTGTCCCACTTCTTAAGAATCCAGCAATATTTTTGGTCTGATGTATATATTTTTGGTTTCGGTGTGATCCATCGTTACGATATATTTGCAGAAAATCGTAACGATTCTTCACGTCGTATTGTCGTTACGATCAACAATCAAGTTGATACTTGATTGTTATAACATACTGATAAAATTTATCAACTTGATTATAAATCGTTTAGCAATAATAGTAGAGTGGAAGATCATTTGAGAAATTTTGCAATAATGTGGTTACCTAACGTGCAGGCCTGTGTTCAGCCAAGAACCATACATTTTCGATCTCTTGTAACGATATTATTATTTGGTCTGCATTGCGATTAAGAAACCGTCTTCGATCAATTTGATCGTTTCAAACATACACAATCGATTCGTTATTGTGATCGGATTAATAGTAACGACATACTATACCGTATATATCTCTTAACGTATAGGCTCTTAACGTTAATGACTATTACAGTTTAAAACAATACACAAGAACCGCGTTATAAGGCATTAAATTTTATCGTTAAATCAGTTAGTGTTAAATTTATACTTAAGGCTTACATAAGGTATATATACCATATACATTGTTTGTATCCAAACTAAGTAGCAATTGTGATACAGATATCTAAAACAATGAAGTTACCAATACATTCAGAACGGACAATAAAGATCCAGAAGGAATCCAGAGTCACTGCAAATGAATGGAATCTTATGACTACTCGTGGAACATAAAAAAACTACGAGGTTTCTTCGCGGCCTTGCACTTGTTGATAGTTTTTGCATCAACTTCAGTACTATATAAGCCAAAGACTTTGACAGTTAAGTCATAAACATTGTTCGACCCAGTCCTCGGATATTTATTCGTCTGCATCGCCGCTTGAAACGATCAAAATGCCAGCACCCTGTGAACCATGCAAAGGTGAGAATATAATTTCCCAATGTTGTATCGTAACTTTATCCTATATTAATGTCATTTTCAATTAATGTCTTACAAAAATGGTATTAAAAATCATGCACTGTATTAATTTAGCTATTGATTAATATTGAAATATCATTTGTCAATTATTTAAAAAAGACCAAGTGCAACCATGGAAATTGTAAAAGTTTCACGGGGCTAGAAAACATTTACTACTCGTATATTTTTCTGCTATATCCTGTTTTATTTTTAAAAGATCAATTTCTTATGGTAATACATCAGGATTACAGTAATAGGGCGAAATTTCCCTAGTACTACCGATATTCTCATAAAATTGCCAATAACGCTTCAGACAAAAATTTTAGATAAACATAATCAAATGTTGCATTGAAAACAGTTTCTGACTTGATCTTTTTAAGGTAATTTGATATGTTTTAATGTATACCTTATTCTTAAATTTTCATTTTCTAGATTCGTGCAAGGATGGCGCGGCCGCGTGTAAAGACAATTGCACTTGCGAGGCGAACTGTTCCGATTGTTCCACTAAACAAGGTCAGTAGTATTTCTAATCTATTGTGGGCAAGAAAACTTCTTTTCAGTGAATACTAAATTGAATATATATATATATAGACAATATTCTGTATATGTAGGTATTTATTCTGAGATAAGACTCGAACCTTTTGAAATCCGGGCGACAGCTATAAACATTGAGTTACCCAGGACCCAAATTTTCAAGAACTTGTTATTTTTTAAGCAATTATCATTAAGAATATTTTAATATAATATCATTAAGAATGCAAAATTTATCATATACATTTACAATGTTAATATTTAAGTCATCATCACCCCTTTCACGCCCCCACTGTAGGGGCAAAGGCCTTCCTTATGGATGGTTAAGAAAGATGGGCCATGACCCTCCACACTGGTCCAATATTTGTTGGAGGATATTAACGACAGCAAATGCAGCCGAGATCGACGACTTAACGTACCTTCCTAAGCTCGAGATAATAATAATTTGGTCTCCCATCTCATAACGACCGTAGCAAATGTCCCATCCGTCCCATGTGCATTGCGAATTTTGAATGAAAACGACATCTTCTGTCTCGTTTCGTAAATTATGGAATGAATGAATGTCGCATGCGCACGCGTCTTACTGTCTAATCGATTTGCGAGTTTACTAATATTTATGTGTTTTCGGTGACGAATACAGGTTATGAACTTATTAAATTGTAACTGCACATATATAATATATTGTTCTGAAACACTTCTAAAAATTTTAGATGTAATTAAAAATTATCAGTATTTATTTCGCAAGGCCGTTTATAGGAGGGATGACCAAAAAATTATTATTTAGAGCTGTTCCGCACTTTGAAAGGCATTTAAAGCCGTTGGTCCATATTGCATCTGTAGTCATTACTAAATCCATTTGCACAGGGCCCATGTGATGAGTCATCGCACATTCTTCCTATTCGATTCAATCTGTAGGAAAGGTCTGTGCCCCAGCAATAGGGATATTGGGATGATAGCAACATTTATTGCATGCATTATATGCATTTTAATTTTGTACTTGTTTCAGGAGGATGCTGCTAAACGCAAGTTATCAGAACATATGCAACAGACGTTATACAATATCATAAATTATACGGATTCGTATTTATCAAAATGTTATAAGTTGTAATTGTATAAACATTGTTTGTGTTGATTATGAAATAAAATTGGTGCCCCATCTAATCTATGTATTTTATATATATGTCACCAGAAAATAACAAGAATCGCAAATAAATAAATTTACTAGGAAATTTATATACTTTCGTAGGATTTTAAGCGAGTGGTAAACTGTATTATTATTTTACGTCCACATTTTCGCAAATTGATAAGTTTATCGAAATCAAGCGCAAAATAATAAGTAAGCAATAACCAAACGCCATGTGCGTTCTGGTTGGTTGAAAAGTCACTTGTTAGGTGTTTCTTTGCTTTCCCTGTCTACGGTGTTTCTCCTTCCTCTCCACCGCCATTGTTCACCTTCGTACAAAATTAACCCTGTACTACTGGTACCTACATAGTTTCAAAATAAAAATACTATTAGGTAGGTAATCAGAAAAAAATAATTGCAAGTCCTACTCACTACACCCGTGTCAAGGAAAAGGCATTGCAAATAAAAATTATAGTTTGGTAAGTCTGCCGATTGTACCAACTCCATGGACACAATTATTGTCACTGTCAATCGACTAATCAAAGAACAGTGTATTATTTGCCGTATTTCCGAGAAGCGTAAAATTAAAAGCTCTTCTGTGATTAGTTGAACCGTTTAGAATCTTACGAATAGATATCAGTTAGATTAAAAATTTGATAAATTTGCGGAAATGTGGGCGTAAATTAATACAATTTATCTCTCGTTTAGAATCCTACTAAATATTATAAATATCCGAGGAAATTTTTAAACTCGCGAATCTTGTTGTTTTCCTGTGACATATACCTCATAAATCTGTTTAATTTTTATAACCGACTTCAAAAAAACAACGAGACGGTGAGTTGTGACCACAGAATTCTGTGGTTGTGACTGTATTCGACGCTGTAATTTTAAAGAATACTAAAGGTGATCCTGCAAACTGCATGCCATTTTATCTGTACAAATACCTATTATAAAGAGGATTTGATTGTTTGTTTGTTTGTCTCCGAAACTTATTCGACCGATATAAAAAATCTTTCACCTATGGGTTTCCACATTACATGCGGATGACATAGGATAACAGCTTTTTGATGAAAAAGATATGGGTAGGTTACATGCTGATAAATATAGCTTTCTATTGGTGGAAGAACCTAAAAATTGGTCTTGTAGTTCCTAATTACAAGCACATAAAAATATCATATATTTCTTCTTTATAACAGAGGAAAGTAAATAAAATAGGAAAATGTCCCTACATATTAGGGACACCATCCTATTTTGATTAATTCCTTTCTAAATAAACACTGGAATTAGCTAAGCGAATCCAAAGGGAGGGCCGATTTGCTCTATTTAAAGCAAATTCCCTATTAAAGATACTATTCCAGTTTACTTACCTTTTTAAATTATTAAAACTAAATTGTAAATGTGATTCCAAGTTAATGTAATTAATCCGAAAATTAAATTAACCTTACCGATACAATTTATCACGATCACAAAACATGTCACGATGTTATGTTTTCGATAACTGTTATGTAAATACTTGATTATGATAAGACCAAAAAATACACATGACTTATTGTAATCGAATATCAAGTCATTTAACATTTGTGTGCGATTATAATTTTGTTTTATTGTCTATACTAATATAATAACAACAAGGAAAGATTTGTTTTTTTGTTTGTTTGCAACGAATACGCTCGAAACTACTGGAACGACTTTCAACATTTCTCCTACAGGAAGCTACTTTATACATGGGTCATATAGGCTATATATTTTTTAAATTTATTCTGGCTTGAATCCAGGTCTTTAACTATAAATTTACAAAAAAATGACGTATATATATTTCAAAGACATTCAACAAAACGCAGGTGAAGTTGCGAGAACACAGCTAGTGTTGAATAAATTAATTAAATGAATTCTCTGATTGGTTAAAAACTACAGTTAAGGTCTCACTGTATGGCGAATTGAATTCCAATGGTTATAAATTAAAAAGTTTCAAATCTTGAATTTATAATTGATAGTCAGGCGAAGGGTTAGAATAATTACTAAAGCATAGAAACCACGCTAAAATACATATATTCGTTTTATTTTTCCCTTACGACCCGTGTTAATGCAGTAGAAAGGGATGTGTAATATAACTTGTAACAACCTTGTTAAATAAGAAACAAATGTGGATTCGTTATCTTATTTACTCTTATAGGCAAATTCAATAATGATATTATGAGACAAATAGCAATTTAACTTTCTTTTATTGATTCTTTGATTTAGTAATTATTCTAAGGGTATAATCCTGTTCAATAAGGGGTTTTGCTTTAGCGATTTGTTGTTCAGTGACAGGCGTGCGTATGCGCCCGCTTACCCGCGCACACTTTCTCCGAGACCGCAAAATTTAAAATAAGAACGACTGAGTTCAAAGTTATGAATATAACCTCAAATTACACTTACGAATATCAACATAAATGTGCACGTTATTAAAAAAAAATGTCTTACCTGGTGTTGCGTTTAGGAATAAAATTCTCAGACACAAACGACAACCAGAGTGCGAGAAACGAGAAAAAAGATTCGTCAGGACAGGATGGGTGACCAAAACATTATTATCTTGAGCACTGTGCACAACACTGGCACAATGCACGTTAAGCTGTTAGTCCTGGCGGCATCAGCAACGTTAACACCTACCGATCCGCATTGAGCCCGCATAGTGGGTTATGGCCCATTGATTTTATTCGATTCGACTCCATTCATAGGAATAAAAGAATTCTACCAAAATACTTCCCACGCAAACCAAGTTGCGGGCCCAGCTAGTATACAATATATTCTTGCTGTATTTTAAATTACGAGATGTTATATTTTGAAATCCCACTTTGAAGCAGAATTTTACTTGACGTTTCGTAGTTTCATTTTTGTTTGATAACAATTCGATTATTAAAAAGTCGGATATGAGCTTGATTTAAGTAACATATTTCAAAATAAGAATAAGGATTTAAACCGTGCGGTGACGGAGAAAGAATACATAACTCACCGCCCCTTCCTTTCCTGTGGGTGTCGTAAGAGGCGACTAAAGGAATTCGAGTTCAGATCTGCTCGCAACTGGTGGTAGGGTTTAATCCCGCCTGGTTAGTTACCACCGTACACACATGGTGAAAAACCCGTGAAGTGCTCGCTCGTAGAGCGCGTTTCGGGATCAGCCAACGTACAACCAGAGCTCGGGACGACATTGCCGCGATTGTTTGGGTCCGGTGGGTGCCTCCGTCGAACCGGTGCCAGGAGGACCGCATCGACCCGCCAGCCAGGGAGACCCGTAGAAACGGCTGACCGCTGGCCGCCCGTGGTACAGTACAGGGGCCCAAGCATGCCTAACCAGCTCGTGAGGCTGCCCTATTATGCCACGCATAATCTTGGGGTGGACCGTCGTGCCGGTTGGTGACCGGAGCGTGGGTCCCGGCAGCCACTCTCGGGGGGGTACGGGGGCCCTTCCGTCTGGCGGATCGGTGCTACTCCTCTGTGGGCAACACCTGGGGAAACAGGCGCCCATATTTTTGACTGGAGCAGTCGCGACAATGCCCTCCTGCTTCACGTCCCCTCACCCCTTATCGTTATGGCAGCCACAGCAACACGTTCTGGTCGTACAGCGGTGCACAACCCCACGCCTTCGCTGTTTGAGGTTGAGTTATCTAATAAACGGGGACTCCATGCCAACCTCAATGCTGTCCACCAACACCTAGAGACAGCACGGCCTGCAATGTTGTTTCTGATGGAGACGCAAATTCTCCGCCCGGACGATACAAGCTACCTTCACTATCCCGGCTACGCACTTGAAGAATCCTTCAAAGCGAAAGCCGGTGTATGCTTGTTTGTCCGGGCGGATGTCTGCTGTCACCGATTGCGC